ATGTGCTCGGAGGCCTGAGACGGCTCTTCCAAACATTCGACCCAGTTTAAACGACAAAAAACAATTGAGTCTCTCTCAAAATAGGGGAACCCGTTTTGGAAAGGCTCTTCATGGAACAAGGAATGGTAGCCGCTTCCCAATAGGGTACCTCTCTTGCTCGAGACAAAAACAGAGCATTTGTTTGTTTTTTGTTTGCGGGCGCCGGGGGTTGAAGGACCCGTTTCAGGGCGTGTCTGAAGGTTTCCAGTCGGGTAGGGATTTATGCTCATAAGCCAACGCATTTATTTGGGCTCTGAGAGAATTACACACCCGCCCGTTGCCCGTGCTTCCTGGCATCTTTTTTGCATACTTTGTCTCCCTCTCTTTCTCTCTTTCTCTCTTTCTCTCTTTCCCTCTTTTGTTTGTCTCTTTCTCTCTGTCTTTATCACGTCGTTTGGGAGCAAAACACGTGCACTTGTTTTTTTGAGGACGCCAAAAAGGAAACCACGCAAGCAAGTGCTTTTGGAGGGTACCAATGGTTGTTCCCTTTTTTTGAGGGTACCCTGTTACTTTGGAAATCAAAAGGAAACCACAATTTTGGGGACCAAATCCCAGTTTTAAAACATACCCCAAAAAGGAGAAGGAGACAAAGATATGGCCTGTGTGTTGGATATGAGTCCCTTTGGGGTTCGCGGGCTCCTGTAAATGGCTGGTTCCCTTTTGGCTTTCCTAAACATGCGCACGGGAGTCCAACCCATTCCCGTATCCCCTCCTTTCCCCCATAGCCAAATGCGCCTGATTCAGAACTTCGGTCTCCGACCCACAAAGGCTCGAAAGGAAGCCTTCATTTAAGGCGTCGAAAGCTTTCTGCCCTTATGACTATGTGCAATGGTTTAGACTGACCCCTTTCATATTTAGTTAGCATTGCACCCTTTCATACCAGCTTTTGATCATTTGTGTATTCTCCCGGGAGTTTCAAAGGCTCAGCCGCCCGATTCCCGCGGTTTGATCTCCCATCGGACAGCCAGCCTCAGGTCTTGGAGCAGAACATTCGAGTTCGATGGCTTTCACCTCCGTTTGACGATGCCTACGAAATAAAAAGTGGTGCGTGGGCCAGCGGAAGCCCTAAAGCGAGGTGTGGGGCAGCAGCAACCCTAAAGCCAGGTTGGGCCAGCAGAAGCCCTAAGCCCTAAAGTGATGTGTGGGCCAGCGTGTGTGGGCCACCAGAAGCCCTAAACCCTAGAGTGATATGAGCCACGGACAAAACCTACGTCGACCACTTTATCAAGAGGGGTTGAATTATATGTCCAAACTGCGCGATACCCTGTGGAGCCCCCAAAAAAAAAACGATAACCCTCAAGTTGCGACTTTCGAGCGGGAGCTGCTGAAGTGCATTTCGCGTACAAGACTTGCACTATAAAATTGCGATTTTCGAGCTGGAGCTGCGGAAGTGTACCTCGCGTACTAGACTTGTACTATAAAGTTGCGATTTTCGAGCTAAAGCTGCGGAAGTGTGCTTCGCGTGCTAGACTTGGACTACAAAAAACAAAGTCGACCAAAATCGTCCGAAATCCTCAAGATCGTCCAAAATCGACCGGCTGAATTCGACCAAACTCAACCAAAATCGACAAAACTCGACCAAACTCGAACAAATTCGGCCAAACTCAAGCAAAATCCAACTAAACTCGACCAAACCAAACTCGACCAAACTCGACCAAAATCGACCACATTCGACCAAACTGGACCAAACCCGACCAAATTTGACCAAATTCAGCCTGGACAATTCAACCGGAAAAATTCAAGAATTTTCCGGCTGAATTCAGTCTGGCGATGGACTGCCCAATCCGACAAACTTGGACCAATGCGCTCGACCAAAGTCGACCAAACTCAACTCGAAGTCAATTATAGTAGACAGCGCGCGACCAAATTCGACCGACTTCGACCAAAATCGACCAAATTTCAACCAAATTTCGACCAAACTCGACCAAATTCGACCAACATCGACCAAACTCGACCAAAGTCGGACAAATTCGACCAAACTCCACAAACTCCACCAAACTCGACCAAACTCGACCACACCCAACCAAACTCGACCAAACCCGGCCAAATTTGACCAAATTCAGCCTGGAGAATCGCACTGGAAAATTTCAAGAATTTTCCGGTTGAATTCAGTCTGGCGATGGATTGCCCAATCCGACCAAGGTCCACATTCGACCAAAATCGACCAAATTCGACCAAACTCGACCACACCCGACCGAACTCGACCAAATTCGACCAAATTCGACCTATTTCGACCAAATTCCGCCAAACTCGACCAAAATCGACCAAATTCGACCAAACTCGACCACACCCGACCGAACTCGACCAAATTCGACCAATTTCGACCAATTTCGACCAAAATCCACCAAACACGACCGATTTCGACCAAATTCGACCAAATTGGACCAAACTCGACCAATTTCGACCAAATTCGACCACACTCGACCAAATTCGACCAAATTCGACCAAACTCGACCACACCCAACCAAACTCGACCAAACCCGGCCAAATTTGTCCAAATTCAGCCTAGAGAATGTGACTGGAAAATTTCAAGAATTTTCCGGTTGAATTCAGTTGAATTCAGTCTGGCGATGGATTGCCCAATCCGACCAAATTGGACCACTGCGCTCGACCAAAAAAGACCAAACTCAATTCGAAGTCAATTAAAATTGACAGCGCTCCACCCCGTGCGACCAAATTCGACCAATTTCGACCCAAATCAACCAAATTCGACCAAACTCGACCGAACACCACACCCGACCAAACTTGACCAAATTCGACCAAATTCTACCAATTTCGACCAAATTCCACCAAATGACTGTCAAGAATTTTCCAGTGGAGACTTGCCCAATCCGACTAAATTGGGCCACGAACCACTGCGCTCGACCAAAGTCGACTAACATCAAATTCAACCCCTGACCAAGTGCTCGAGGTTCGATTTCACTGGCGGGTGTTGGGATGCGATTGGCGGGCTTGGCAGTGCGCGATTGGCGGGTTGGCAGTCCGTGATTGGCGGGACGGGACAGTTTGCGATTGACGGGCTCCCCGTATCCGATTGGCGGGCTACCCTGCTCAGGTGACCTTTGCACCATGTGTTGGGCCCCTCTTTCAAAACCAATGGTGCCATTTTGGTGTAGGTGCACCACCCATTTGAGTCTATTTTAGTGGGGATTGGGATGTTCACTGGGGGTACGGGGTTTTGAGCTTGAATTTGATAAACAGCATGCCAGCTGGACCTTGGCGTTTCAAATATCAGACAACAACCACACAAAATATGTTCAAGGGTACAAATGAATAATGCAATTGTTTATCCTATTTCAAAAAGGAAGAACATGAATGATGTTAAACAAATGGTAGCCTGTTAGAAAAAACAAAACTGTGATGGTTTGGAAGATGCCATGTCCCTTGCTTACTTGCTCGCTCGCTCGCCTGCCTGCCTGCTTGCTTGTTTGCTTGCTTGCTATTGAGCGTATGCAGCAGCAGCAGAAGGATGCGTGGTCTCACACCCACATGCAATCCTTGCAATCTCGGGCCAATTCGCACAGGAAGAGAGTTCCGCAGTAAAATATCGCAACCAGGTAACACAACAGCAGCAGCTGCTTGTTTAGATTTCATGCTGTATGTGTCAAGGATTTTCTGTGTGCTACAGGCAGTAAAAAAGGTTATGCACACAGCATAGATTGTCCCTTGGCCCTTGTCTTGTTACATCGCTCCATGACAGGGTTCCCACACCAGAAAATGACCCTGCATGTGTCCTCTGCGAACGCATGAAGTGGCTTCACAGACACAGAGCAGCGCGAACGCTCTCTCTCTCTCTCTCTAACTCGCACACACACATGCAGGCTTTCTAGGAGGGACCCGCGTTTTGGGAATCATTTTCAGAAACGACCAGCGCACACTTCATGGCGCCTCCTATTTTGGTAAGAACAGCCATGTGTGGTCCACTTGGTCAGTCCCCCAGCTGCTGTGGAAATTAGTGCGCCGCTTCGCTTGCTCATCCCCAACTCCGCAAACGATCATAAACAAGCGGCAGACCTACGAAGTTTAGTCAAGGAGTTCCGTCAGGGTGAAAGTAGATGGCGCATGTTTCCTTGCGCGTAAGAAAAGGGGATGACCAACTCAATGCCATTGTGCACCTACTGTCGCCCAACTGTACTTTGCATCTCCTTGAGAAGTGTGTTGAGATGCCTGCGGGGTAGATTGGAGCGTCGCTTGAGATCCATGCCAGGGTTACTTTCTAACAACTTGCAGCATCCGGTGCTACTCATGCAACGGCAACACTTGTGTCCCCTGATATTACTTCGTAAAGTAGGTAAGCCGGAAGCCGCGATTGGTTTCACAGCCAAATCACCGTATGGTGACACCATTCCACAACTGTGTGCTATTCCCACCTTTCTACAACTGTATGCTAAACAAAGGCCGTTCTCACCGTCCCCCGGCTGATAAACATGGACCTGAACCTTTTTGTCAGATGTCTCTTTCTTCAAGTTTTGCTAGTTCCTGTTGTTCAGAGGCTTTGGTTGGTCATGTCCCTCCACCATTAAAAGTAGGGCTAGAGAAACTTGGCCGGTCTAGCGACCACGACCATTCTTTTCGTGGCCTTTGGAAGCCTAGGGTGACCAGAGTGGGAAGCCTACGGTCCTCTTGAACAGGCCAAAAGCCATCATTTCCACTGCAAAGAGTTGGCACAGAGTGGCTGTTGGCAAAGCAATGGTACATGGTTTCGTTTAGTTTCCTTCAATTCCCAGGGACCAAGTTTCTATCCTGCTAGGTGCAAAACAGTTGGATGCCAATGGAATCCGCGTGAAAGCCATAACGCCATGGAATCAACCTCTAAGTGGTATCATGGATTTGGGTGTTTCTCAAGATAGGAATACCCTCAAGATGCTAGTTGTTTTTTGTTTTCCTTTACGCCAACCCTACTGCGGGAACCAGAAAACGCAACACACGCACACATGTCTATGGTTTTTTCCATCGGCCAGGCAAGAAAACGTTCTGGATCACGCGGGGCGGCATTGCGGTCCACAAGCAGTCCCCTCATGAAGCCCGATTCCTGGTGGACACAGGCCAGTGGTGGATTCTCGAAATGGGTTTGTCTAGCGGCCCCGAGCGGCGCTTGGTCGGTGTCCTTTTGCTCTCCAGGAAAACCCAACAAAGGCACTTCAGGGTGCCCTCAAGCAAAGACACATTCATTTTATTCTTGTAGGTGAACCACATGCATGGCGTTTTGTGGTGTCGGGTACGTGGCACCACTCCTTTGGTTTGGGCAAAGAAACCATGCATTCAGGGTTTCTCTGAATGGACCTCTTGCAAATCTCGGAAGTGAACCAACATCCAACCAGAATTCGGGTATATTGCAACTACTTTTCTGAGGGTTCTCGCGACGCTCCGACTTCACGTATTGAGGCTCGGCATTTTAAAGTCAACTTCAGATCAACCCGGACCGAAAGGCAAGTCTCCCCTGAGAATTCTGGAAGGATTTGCGAAATCATATTTGTCGAGGACTGCGCTGGCACGTGCACAGGTGACTGCGAATGCAAGGTCAAACAACAAGATTGCAGCATTGCTGCGTTGAAACAGTTTTCTGGTGTAGCAGAGGCACGATCAGATGGCAACATCATGATTCTTGAATATAGCAGCTAGAAGACTTGCATTTTGGGTCGGCCAGAGAAATTAAAGGGTCCATCCCTGCGCTGAAGACCGAGACTGATTAGGATGCCTTCAGTCTGACATGTCTTCACTTTTGCAAGAGCCGGACTTGAGTGCATGGACACTGTGAGTTCAACACCAAATTCTCAAAACCCCAAGCCCAATAGAAGGTGGTAGGGGGCAAAGCTGGAGAGGAGTATCCAAATGGCCTCCTTCCTGGAATACCTTTGGTAGCAGAATATCAACCCGAGATAAGTTGGGGGTGTGTTTTTTTCAGTGCCCTTTTCGAGTCTGGTTAGGGATTCCACAACGAAACACGACACGATACCCTTAGGGTTGCTTTGGGGGTGTCTTTTTGAGGGTGCCCCTTTTTTTAAAGGGCTGTCAAAGGCAACCAACAGGAAAACCACACGTTTCGGAATTCGATTCCCTAGCAAAATGACAAACATGGAGACTAAAACGAAAAGCACAATTTGGAAAGGCACCACCAGGTGGGTTTAATACAATAACGACATGTTAAAGGGACAACTCATAGGAACCTCCCCGACGGGGGGGCGGGGGGGGCGGGGAGGGAGGAGCTGAAAGGTACCAACCAGGTCCTGCTGGCGCCTCGGCACCTCTACATGAGCATCATGCGCTCGGTGCTGCCGGACGACAAGCTGCTGGCCTGAAATGGTAACCTATTTTGCCCATGTTGGATCTGTTCGGTGGGGTTTGTCCATTACTTTTTGGGCCAATTTACCGCGAGCTTTCTCTTGGGGTAATATTGGAAGGGGAGATATAAGGAAGCCTGCCAGTCTCAAACTGAGCAAACATTTGAGGTCTCCAACACGATTTGTTGCCTAAGAACTTAAGATGCTTGCTGGGTGCCTTCTTCAACTCGGCCCCACCTCCTTCTGGTTCTCCTCCAAAGCGACTTTTTGGGTTGAGGGTAGAGAGGATATGAAACAGAATCCGAACGTTTGTTTTGACTTCCGCCAAGTGTTCAAATGGAAAGGATGTGTTTGTTTGGGCTCCCTCAATTTGAGGCGACCTTTGGGGGCTGCTCGGATCGACGTTCGAAGCATTCCACCACCGTGGATGGTTGCGAAATCCGTTCGCACCACGAACTGAATCCACGGGAAACCAGACCGTTTGTTTGTATTTGTAGGGGAATCATCAGAAACCAGGGTTTCTTAACTAATCCGTCCACAGTATGACAGGGTCTCTGCCTCAGGAGCTGCCCATCTTGAGACACGCAAACATGGCCCAATGAACTGCTCATGTATGAGCATGTATGGTTTGTGTGGTTTGGAGGGATTAGTAGTACCGAAAAATGGCAGCTAATCGTGGCACATGGACCTCACGGCGACGTTTGAGAGAGAAGAACCAAAGAACCCAAAGCGCATGGCCTCGCGGGGAGTTGACAAGAGTACCAAGATTGTTATCAGTTCCCACCTAGATAGCCAAGTTGCTACTATTTTCAGTCACTGCTGCTGGTTTTTTGGGGTCAAGTACATGGGGGAGAAAGAAACAACAGCAACTGGCGATCCAGGCAGATTCTTTGCCGGGTTTCCCCAGATTTTTCCCCCAAACCAATTCCTCCAGGTCTCCAAGTGACAAGCCAAGGTTCGACAAGCTCTGTGGCATGGATCAATCGGCGGGTGGACTCTTGCCTGATGTCAGCGAAAGGGAGACCGCGCCGAGGGCCATGTTTGGGGGGGTAACACGCATGAAAGAAAGTGAGGATTGGGGAATCCGGGGGGGGGGGATTTGGGTTGGGATGTCCCCTAGCGCGCTTTTTGTTGCTTCTTCGTGGAATCACAAAATGTGCTTGGAAGATTTGCCAGGAATCGCCAGGTGCCTTACATCCGCTTTGCTTGTCAAGGGCCAAGTGTCTTTTTGGGATCGGTGGGGTCCTCTACAGAACAATTGTTCACAACGCCACAGACTCCCAATCAGCCATTTGCCAGGTCTTCTGACCGCCATAAATGGAATTGCAGGGATTACAGGGGTTACAGGTGCATTATACATACCCATTATATAACATGAACCCTTGGTGTGAAGCTCTACACTCTGTCTCGGTATATTTGCATTCCCCCCCAACACCACCCGCCCACCCCCAACCCCCAACCACCAACTCCCAACTCCCAACCCCCCCCCCCCCAAACAGCCCCCCCGGCAACTGCACTCCAAGGGGTGGTCTTCTGCGACTGCAGCGTGGTGGAGCAGTCCAAAGACCTGCCGCCCCTGAAGATCTTTCTGGGCGATCGGCCCTTCGAGCTGCCGATAGCGGACACTCGCCGAAACGTCAGACCTCGCATGTGTGGGGAAGGGGGGCAATGTGGAGCTGGGTTGCTCTTGAGTAAAAGGTCTAACTGAGCTTTTGTGGATTTAATTTACTGAAAAAGCCGCATTGGTAGGGTTAATTTCATGGAGCAGGCGCATTGGCAGGTTGAATCTAATGGAAAAGCCGCCTTGGTTAGCAAAGGGTCTAGCTGCCCTTTTGTAAGTAGGTGCTATGGTAAACCTGTTTCTTTCCAAAAGGTCGTCGGTCACACCAAGTACCAGCCATGGTGCTTGTGGTTTGTTTCGCTGCCACTTTCTGCGATCTCTTCAAAGTGGCGAACTAGTCATTGGACGGGCCTGGGGCAAACCAAAAGTCAAGACTATAAGCGGATCAGCCCTGGTTCTTGAAGATAAATTGGAAAGCCCCCCTCATGCAAACAACGCAAACCACCCTTTGTGAGCGACGCTGAAAAGGAATCCAGAAAGGCGTGCAATCAAGCATTGTAGCTTAGATGTTTACCCTTTAGAGGAACAGCTTTGAATCCGAGGTGAAGGGTTGGATACTGTCCAAGAATGTGTCGTTTGGAAAGTGTCCAACATGATTGTGGAACATTGGCTCCTGTTTCGTGTTTGTTTGTTTTTTTTCCCCCATGACTTAAGGGACACCCCCTGTAATTTACAGAAAGTGGAAGCACCCAATTGTGCAATGGTTCAACCCTAGCATGGCTCGGAGCTTTTACCATGGCACCAGCTGTAAACCATGGCACTCCCAAAAGTGGCTCAACCTAAGAACTGGTGTTTTAGAAGGCAAGCAAGTTCTGTACATTTCCCCTCAAAGGGCTTGGAAACCTCACCCTAGCTAATTCAGACAGACTCGGGATGGAAAGCGGCGCTGTGGGAGTCCGATTTGTTGTAACGGGAGCCCAAAGGAAACCGACAAGTCTGATCCAAATTCAGCTGTTTGTTGGAAGCCATTGTGGTGCTGTTGGGCTCTCTTTAGTTTGGGATTTACAACACACCCCACTGCAAGTTTCACTTTTTGCAAGGGAATGTCTAGACGCAAAACTAGCCGCAAACAACTAGGAATGTGTAGGAAACTAGGAATTCAAGCAACAACAACTAGGAACAACTAGGAATGTCTAGGCGCAGCCGCGTTGGCCGGTCAACGTTGACTACGTAGCTTCAGGAGATGTTCTCCAGGATCCCCACCATCAACGGGCAAGGCGAATGGATCCAAATCGCATTTCGAGTTTCGAGACGCGCTGGTTGGATTCGAATCCCAGTTGTGGGGTTGCTCCGAACCTCAAATTCTTCGTGGCGAAACTGCAGGTGGAGAATGTTACCCTTGGAGTCCTAGTTGCAGCAGGTTGGCCCACAAAACAAGTCTAAAAGTCAGACCAAGTTTGGTGTGGAGCCCGGTGGCGGTGGTTTGGATTTGAACCCTTCTTGTAATTAGAGGGCAAATGGGGAATTACCCTTAAGCACCCACCCACCAATCCAAACCACCAATTCAAACCACCAATTAGTAGGAAGCTGAACGCAACACAAAGCGCTTTTGTCCAGTGGCAGCCTTTGTCCCTTGTGCTCCCCAGTGAACGGTCAAGCCCAGCCAGGGTTTCTTTTTCTATCTGGATGGGCAACTGGTTCTTCTCCCGCCATGTGGGGCTTGCCGGTCCTTTTTCCGCCAGGCCATGCCTGCATGCTGGCAATCCAGCCTAACAATATCAACATCGAAGAGCCAAGCAGCGGGTTCCCTCTCCCCTTGCCATTCGGTGGCATGGGAGGCGGCATGGGAGGACAGCGGAAGCCGGCAATGCTTTTTTGTGCGTCAAGCGTTGAGCGGTTTCCGGAGCAATTGAGTTTTCGAAAACAAATCCTTGACTCGACCATGGAAGGTGTGCAGGTGCGTGTTGTTTTTGTGGTGACACTTTTTCAGTATTCTTGAATTGTTCATTTTAGACTCTTGCACGAGGTCCGCTCAAGACATGTGATATGTGGTAGTATGTAGTCAATCTTGGGGTGCCGGGGACTCACTAAGTTTCCAGCCTCAACCAAAGAACTCACTAATTGTCTCATGTCTTATATGGCAACCACAAGTGTTCATGGCTAATGCCGTATCTGATGTTTTTGTTTGTTTAACAAAGAAAAACAAGCAAGCAAACAAACAAACAAACCAACCAACCAACCAACAAACAAACGCACCGCATGGTTTTTGTTTGGAACTAATATTTTCAATCACACACCTAGGTCTGCGTCCATCTCAGACCAAAGCAACTCGACCTTTGTATCCTGCCAGGCCTCCCTGGTCTGTGCACGTCTTCCATTTTCTGACATGAATATGTGTGATTTTCCCTGTTGGTGTTACGGGTACTCTATCACTGGATATGTTTTTGCCCAGGGACTGAAGCAAAGGAAGGATGTTATAGGCCCATTCCAGTTGATCGCGTATTATGTCCATGCTCATTCGTAAGGTGAGGAACTCCTTCCGGCACCAAAGTACATTCATTTATGGCGCTGGGGGGGAGCATTTTGAAGGAACATGACTGATGTCCTGAAAGAGGTTTGGGTCCCATTCTATTCCTGATGCCAACAGGCAACCCGTGTTCTGGTATGATTGAATCAGCTGTTTGTTTGTCTGTCTGTCCGTCTGTCCGTCCGTCCGTCTGTCCGTCTGTCCGTCTGTCTGTCTGTCTGTTTGTCCGTCTGTTCGTCTGTCCTTCTGTCCGTCTGTCCGTCTGTCCGACTGTCCGTCTGTCCGTCCGTCTGTCCGTCCGTCTGTCCGTCCGTCCGTCTGTCTGTCCAAATGGTGGTGACAGTAAGCATCGCGACCTGCTCTTTCCGCACTGCTCTTCAAGGGTCGTTTACGCTGCCTCTAACCAGTGTGATGTTCAAAAGCTTACCTCCTCTCTTATTTATGACAACTCTTTTTCAGCGAAGAGTGACTTTTGTCGCAACTTGTTTGGTTGCTGCTATTTGGGGCTTTTTGGGTTTGTGTGTGTGTGTGTGTGTTTATGCCAGCTGTCGTCTTGTGAAACACATATTGCTCACAATGCGAGGCAGCTACAAAGCGGATTCAATCGGGTGCATCCCCCTGTAAACAAGGAGCTTCCACAAAAGAAGGGAGGGGCCCCTGGTGCTGCTCATTTTCGGGTCGGCTTGTGCAGGACTGCCGGAGATGCCGTCCATGGACGACTTCCCCTTGCCCTTCTCCTTTCCGATGCCTGGCCTCGGGGCGCCTGTCTTCGGCGGCTCCCACCACCGCAGCCACGGCGACCTCCTCGACTCCATCTTCGGGGACCCCTTCGGTTCCCGCGGTCAGGGAGGTTTGGGCGACCCCTTTGCGCCGTTCAAAGACATGGGACCCTCGGAGCGCAAGAACTCAAGTCGAGCAGTTCCGGAGGTCCAGCCTAGAAGTCAGGAACCCCTGCCTTGGTTGGAGTTGTCAGGCCTAGCTTCATCTTGGCAAAATGAGGCGTGATGATGTTTCCCATAAACAGAGCAAGGGGTATTGCATGACACACACATTCTCACCGGGTGGCTGGAAGCAAATGTATCGGAACTCGCACGATACCACAAACGACCACCCCGAAACATGAAAGCTGACCTCCCCCCCCAAAGGATATGAAAGCTGAACATGCTGAACCACAAACTCTAGGACAGCCAGATGGTTCCATTTGGAGGTTGATCAAAAGGTCCTTAACATGGGGTGACCATTCGGGAAACCACCAAAAAGGATGACTTTCACCACTAAACGGAAAAGTTGGTCATGGTCATTTGGGGGCCAGGAGTTGATCAATCCGTTGCCGTGAGGTATCGGCCATCTGGGCCAGGGCGTTCAATCGGAGCAAGTACAGGAACGCATCCACCAACGCCCGGATGGCACGGTGTGCAAGGAGATCACAGTGTTGGCCACTTGGCGCGAACACGAAGGGGTGACCACGGTCTTGCTGAACCCGCGACGTGCTATTGGGCCCATAGACTGTTGCCACAAACCAAAAGATCAACTGGAGGTCAAGAGGCAGGTTTGGGGGGAAGGCAAACAACGGCCCCGAACTACCCTTCAACGATTGTTCGGTCAAGGTATTTAGTCTGTGGCCATGTGCATGGTTAGGACACCGGGGACCTACATTTTGACCACAGAAAAACCACGGGGACTAACTGTGGTTTTCCTAGGTCCACCATGTGTTCCGACCCAACAACGTATTATCCCTGAGTAGGCATACCTGGCAATTTTCATGCAAACATGATTCTGTAGCGAGCATTTGAAGGGGCAGTGACAAATGAAGGAGTGCGGAGCTTGTTGAGATCCCGGCCCTTTCATTCATTGACGCTGTGAGTGTTTGTCTTCGTGTGCGCGAACTCGTCTGGCTTTCGAGACCCCTGATTGTTACGCATGAGCAAGTACATTGAGTTCAGGCCCCAACCCTCATGGCTGTTTGGCGTTGTTGCCTCCAATTTCAGGACTTTGCTAGGCGTGATTTGGTGTTCTGCCACATAAAGTGGTGTCAGCTGGTTATTTATCAAACTGTGTTCACTTGCCATTGAGTGTATTGTTTGATGTTGCTTGCTCTGTGTGTTTTGATGAGGGCAAAATTTGCTTTCCTGCTGAGCGATCAGTTGTTGAAGAGAGCAGGTATTGGTTTATGTATCTTGATATGCTACTTCGTTTTGACTGCCCCAAGCCATACATAAACCCACATGCAACCAGATGACCAACCAAACTGCGTAATAGATAACTTTATGGACACATACCAGTTAACACACAACTCGGCGATTTCACCAGAGGGGTAGTTGGTTACATTATTCCAGCACAGGTCCCTCTTGCCGCCTCAAGCAAGCCTGAGCACGGGGGCTGAAAGCAGTGAAGGTCTTTGAAGTGGGAGCTGGTTGAAAGCAAACCATGGCCATATTCATTGTGATTGTATCATAGTAGGAACATGGGAAAAAGGATTACATACGTATAAGTATAACACAAAAATAGGTCAAATGAATAATTTAAGCATTAACGTTGCCGTGATCTCAGGAGAATGGAAAGGTGAAGAGTCGCCGCTCGGCTTTGCGGGAAAATTGAGCGCCAGCACAACCCATTTTTTTTTTAAACATTATCCGAGTTATGGGTGCGTGTTAAAACAGGGGAACCCGGATGATAGTGTTTTCTTTGATGGTTCATTACAACGACGCAAAACAGTACCATCAACACACGCTGGTCATTTCAGAAGGTCCCTCCCCCCTCCCCCCCCCCCCCCCCGGTTGTGGGGGAATGGTATGCAAAATACCTGGATCATGATCATGGGAGAGCAAGATTGGTGTGTCGCTTTCTTTTCATGGGACCCACAAAATGTTGTTTGCCTGTTGGTTTTCCTTTTAGGACACAAACATGGGGTACCCTCAAACCCACATGTTAAAAATGCTTTAGCCTCCCGTGTCTTTTTTGTTTCCAAGCGCTTTCCAGATGCTGCGCTTCCCGGATGTGCGAAGCATGCGGTGTGTCTTTATGAGGGATTCTCGGCACTGGTGTTGTTGTTTGTTGGTGTTCATCTCACCCCAAAAAGAGTCATAGAATGAAAGCCAGAGGAGTGTGAAAGCAGCCCCTCATGAGGCTTGGGATAAGACGATCCCCACTACGCCACTACTCGGGGGAGGTTTGAAAATAGCTTATGTTTGCTCTTATCCCCTCCAACCTAACCCCCTAAGTCGCTTTCAATGGGCCTTGCGGGCTCGAGCGGTCGAGTCAGTGTGTTTGATCCAACCTTCAACCCTTCAATCCCCTATCGACCTTTCGTTTCTTCATGGCTGCATGATTGTTCCTCCTGACTTATAGGTGTGAAGTTCTTTGCGTTTGACCTTTGGTTTCTCAGTGTTGTTTTCCTGGCTTACCAAATAAATACCCTGGTTGCCTACTAGAAGTACGTTTGACTCACTTGCCAAAAGCCCACCTTTGGACCTTTGGTGTTTCGTCCAAGCTCCTGTCAGGCTTTTGGTTTGCAAGTAAAGCGAAGTCACCTGCCGCTTTTTGCAGGGACCCTTCAGCTCTAAAAGATTGGGTAGGACCGCCTTTTTGCCAGTGCGAGCCCCAGATTCGTAGACCCATCCTGCTTTTTCGGGGGGGAGGGTGTTACCCACAAAAGTGAGACGGATTCCCGCGAATACCGCCGACACCGCCCGAGCAAAAATTTTGCCGCGGTGAATACAACCCTTGTGACACCTGGACTGCTGAACCTCCGCTGTTTCGGGTGGCTTTAATTTGGGATGCCCCTTTGAACCCAAGCCAAAACTTTGGTCTTCCCCCTTAAAAAAAGCCCGCCACGGCGTCGCCGAGATGTTCCGCATGTTTCGTTCTGGCTGTGGCTCAAGAAGCCGGAATTCCAAAATGAAGCCCTGGTAGGTGGAAACGTGGACCAAAACCTCCCCTTTGCCCCTCCTCTTTAATTTTGAGCCACACCCAAATGGGTGCTTCGTCCTTTTATTGAGCTGGTGCCCTTGTTGGAAATGGTTCATTTGGAGCCGCACCTTTCTGAGGCAAGGAGGAGTGTACCAAGCCTCAAGATGCGGATGCGGTGAGGAGGTTGCAGCTGTTGGTGCCCACGGCCGCTCAGCCTTGAGCGAAACTCACTGTGCTTCAACTTCAAATGGGTCTGTCTTTGTTTAAGGGGACCCCCCAAAAAAAAACCACCGTCGTTTGTCGTTTGGAGTCCCTTGAAACAGGGGTACTCTCAAAAAAGACACACCCAAATGGGTGTGAGTTGTAGTTGGGGACCCTATGGAAACTTGAAACGAACATCGCCTTTTTATCGTGTCCGGAGTCGTTGAACATGACGTTCTTCTCATGTCGTTGGTTCACCGTTCGTGCCCAGCATTGGGAACCCCTTGCCTTCAGAAGGTCCAAGAATTTACTTGTAAGAACCTTCTCTAAGAAACCTGCCGCTCGTCGAACCTTCCCCCCCCCCCCCCCGTGGACACTTGAGTAGTTTGCAGGCAGCCCCACGCAGGGGGGTCCTGCATGGATAGCCAATCCACTTAGTAATCTGGTTATAGAAATATGGAGATATGTCCACCGCCCCTTTATACATTTACAACCTGAGTGAATAGAACATCTACAGTTGGGTGAAGAACATCTACAGTCGGGTGAAGATGTCATCCTCTTCCCTTACCCTTACCTGCATCGGAGAATTGTGCACCATTTCTACTCTCACTTTGTGTAGCCAAGCCTCCCGTCACCACCGCACACTCCCTCAGACTAACAGCCAGAAGCTCCCCCAATCGGCCTCCGTAAATTGAACCAAGTCCTTGAAAGGGGTTCCGGAAGTGTCCATGGTATTTCCTGGGAGGCCTCTCTGAATCCCGCATACTCCATGTAGGTCATACCAACATTTGACCCAGGAGGTTGGAGGCTCAATGTGGGTCAACGTTCCCATGGAGTGGTTGGGACTGGAACTTCGCGTCTTTTCTCGGGCTCCGTTGAGCTTCGTTTGGGGAGACGGAGACGCTGTGGCTCAGGGCGGAATCCTGGAGATCCCCTTGGACCCTGCGGGCCGCGAAGAAGGCGGTGAGCAGCTGCCGCGGGAGCCGGCCCCTCCCGTCCAAACCGGGGGAGATGAAACGGGTTTTCCCGGGCCAAGCCGGGGAATGAAGCTGGTTTGCTTCTAGCACCTCTGAAACTCACGTTTTTTGAGGGGTTCGCCAACTCACATGTCTGTTTTCTATTGGGCGGTTGCCCTGTAGACCACTTTAGAGGGTGGTTTCGGGGATGTCACTTTGATGGACCCACCCTGCATCCGGCTTCACGCCGGAATTCAATATGGGGCCACCTGGAAGTGGGCTACAGAAAAAAATAGCAAGGGGTCGATCTTGAGCTTGTGTGATGCGGCACTTGTATGTGGGGGTTGATCAAGAGGTCTGGCAAACAGGGGATGACCAGCAAGGGAAACCACCAACAAAGATGACTTTCACCACAAATCGGGAGAATAAACTATGTGTTAAAGCCAGGATGTTCCTTGTCCAGCCCTTTTCAAGCGGCACCAGCTTGACGGGGGATTTGGCTTTGATACTTCCAGCGCGTGTGTCTACTGATAGGACCCGCCGGCCACATCACCCCAGATGGGTCAGCAAGTCTCAAGCAGTTTTAACCTGGACCAACAAATCGATGTATCCCATTCACTTTGGAATGGCATACCCCGGTAGTTCTCCTTCCAAAAAGACCCTTGCTCTTGGCAAAAGGGGCCCATGCAATTCCAAGTGAGTTCAATTCGAAAGGGGATAACGGCATAGTCATTAAAATATATTTATGATACGATATATTATGTTGAGTACGCATCGGCAGTCCGGAGCTGGTGGTTTGTAGCATCTTTTTTTTTTTTTCCCCCGTGGGGGCTGTGGTTGTCAAAACCAATGGGATCCCATTTTGGGGCGGTAGGTGCCACCCACCCATCTTAGTCGATTTTAGTGGGGATTGGGATGTTCACTGGGGGTACGATTTGGAACCTGACCCGTGGCCATGTGAAGACAAATCACCCTTTAGGCTCCGGACTCAGGACTTGTGGATCCTGGGCGGAATGTTCCTGGAGAAGTTCGTCGTCTCCTTCGACTTTGACCAGGCGCATTCCAAGCAAACAACCGGGTGGCCAAACCCGCCCCCGCGAGCGGTGCGGCACCGCGAGCAGAGAAGGGCAACAAAGACCAGCGAGCGACAATGGAGGGCCCCGTATAAATATATATATATAATATATAGGTTCCTTGGTCCCCAAGGGAGATGGGTCCCAAACTGGAGTTCTTTTGAATTTCAGGGTTGATGGTCTCTGGAGTGTTGTTGGGTTGTGTAGCTTGCTTTGCCTTCTGCTTTGCCTTGTTGTTTTGGGCTTCTCTGCATCGCTTGGCTCATGTTGCCGTGTTTCATTCGCCTGGTTAGGGTCTAGTCCATGGCTCTGCCTTGCCTGGTCTCTGGGAACACGCTTGGTTTCTGGGCTCGATCCCAGCCATTTGCTGAGCCTTTTAGCCATTTAGCTGGTTCAGCGGCAGTTTCCATTTAACCCACTAAAAGTTGTTCACTTTGAGCGGGGGGTCCGAAAACGGGCACGGGCAGCCCAGGTTCGTGGTTTGGATTGATTTTGGGGATGTGAGGCCCTGGCAGAGGGTACATGGGCCCATCCTTTGCCACCAAACCACGAAACCAATTTGAAGGCTGAAGGATTGGTGCAGAGGACCCTTCTGTTGACACGGAACATCACGGAACCCACCCTTTTGAGACGAGCCTCGGGACCTGGGTTCCATGTTTCATGGGAAGCCCGGATGACGAAACCGGTTGCTGTCCCCCGCCTGGGGTAGTCACCACTTTTTGAGGGGAAGACCCCTTATCATTAAGACAAGGGTTCATTAATTCGGATCTGCAGTAGTTATTTCAACAACACAAAGCAGGGCTTGCGTGCCCCGAACAAATCTCGCCAGGCCTTGCATAGACCACATTTCAGGGGATCGTTGTTAGGAATGGAGCACAAGATACGCGTTTATCGTAAAATCACCGGCCACAGGCCTGGACAAAAGTACCCATGAGAATCACCCCATGAAGCACTATCCGGGCAGTCTCAGGGACCCGATTGGCCATTCCTTGTCTCAGCCAGTGGCCAGCAAAAGGGTTTTCAATAGATCAGACCAATGGCCATTGGAGCACATTCCCACCAATTCCTCAGCCAGCCAGCCCAGTCGACTCCAGTCCGCACCTCTGGTTCCTTTGCACCCAAACCCCACCCCCACCCCCCCCAAACCCCCCCCCCCAACCCCCCCCACCCTCCCCCCCAACCCCCCCCCACCCTCCCCCCAACCCCTCCTACCCTCCCCCCCAACCCCCCCCCCCCATCCCATTCCGCCGCCGATTTTCCAACCCGCAGGGCCGTATCGGCTTCGCGGAAAAGGCCGCAGGCACCGAGGCGATCGGTGCGTCAGACAGACAGACCAGCGAGTGGAAATTCAGATGGAGGAGATGTTGATCGTTTTGGGCGTCATCTCCCGTGGGTAACCCCCCCAAAAAACACAAACAAACAAAGGTATTGTTTTTTTGGGTGTTTATTCAATCTCCGGGTTGGAAGTAGGTTCCCTTGGTTTTCGGGTTCCATACGTAAAGTTGAGGGTTTCAGCATCAAGAAATCAAGATGCCCACCTGTTGATGGGTTAAAGGAACCGGTTTCTGAGGTTGATGCCCCAGAAAGAGTCCAATTCAGGACCCTGGTCCGCTTGTGTTTACTCAGATACTCAACGAGTTGGTTGGGGGGTCGGTTGACTGGTTGGTTGGTTGGTTGGTTGGTTGGTTGGTTGGTTGGTTGGTTGGTTGGTTGGTTGGTTGGTTGGTTGGTTGGTTGGTTGGTTGGTTGGTTGGTTGGTTGGTTGGTTCGGTGGTTGGTTCGGTGGTTGGTTCGGTGGTTGGGTGGTTGGGTGGTTGGGTGGTTGGGTGGTTGGGTGGTTGGGTGGTTGGGTGGTTGGGTGCTTGGTTGGGTGCTTGGTCGGGTGATTGGTTCGCTGGTTGTGCGTTTGTTGCTTGTCTTGTGCGTGTGTGTTGTGCGTATGTGTGTGTGTGTGTTTCTCAGGGTTGTGTGATCCGTCATATATCCCCAATGTCAAGTGTTGGCCAAATTTGATTGAGTTCCCATGCTTATTTGAATGGGATGGTTGACTTGTTCTTGTTTGGCAGGGTCGTGTTCCTTTCAGGGCAACGTCACCATTTCGCCCACGCCAGCCAAGCTAGCGTGCAACTTCCGAAGTTCTTTGGCCGCAGCGCCCGCGGATCTTACAAGAATTCCCATGTTTTCACAGTTTACCGAGCCCGGAGTTGAATTCGGGTGTTGGCGATTTGGTGGCCAGTTGAAGGGGTGTTTTGCGATATGTTTTGCGCCTGTACTGTGTGCCGAATGTGGGCCTTTTGTGGCCAGAAAAGTTCAAGCTCCGCAAAAGACCTGGCCCTTGGAAGGTCCAGGACGGCTTTGCTTCATTTGAAGCCACTCTCCACAAGGCATTAGGTGGGGCGGGGCCATGGTGGCAAAGCAGCTTTTGTAACATTTTGCAACCAGCAGAATGGTAGTAATCCGTTTGGTTTCCCTGAACAACCCTAGAAAGGGCCCCCTCCCCAACATCACCTCCCATTTACCCCAGAGTTTCCCATGTCCAAATCCACCCACCCAAAATCCTTCTGCAACCCCCACAAACCCACGGTTGCCGAAAACTCTGCAGGCCATCGAGGCGGCGGTCGGCCTGGCCAGCCTACGCGGCGCAGAACACACGAGCGGAGCGTGGCCTGGCATCCCATCCGAGAGACTGACGCGCGTCCCAACTCCGTTCCCCACTTGGGTCACAATCAAAACCCGGGTAGATGAAGGTTAGTAAGGGACGATTCCAACCAGAAATAGCTGCGGCCGCCTTCTAACTTCTTTACACGGTTCTGGGTAGACCATTTTAATGCCGGGTTTTGATTGTGACTCACTGGCAGAGAACGCAATTGCCTCACTTACGAGTTCCAGGACCGGAGTCACTTTTTGAGCTTGAACCACTTGGTGGCTCCCGAAGGCCATCCGGTCCATTCGCTTAGATCCTAGTTGGTTTAGTGGTAGTTTCCGAATTTAACCCACCAAAAGTTGTTCACTTTGAGCGGGGGATCAGTCAACGGGCAGCCCAGTTAACAAGCTCCAGGACTTGAGGCTCTTGTTGGGGTTGGACCGTTTTAGTGGCTCAGTTGTTCAGTGGCACCAATTATTTGTCCAAGGTTCCCCTTTTTTCCAGGGTCACTGAACAACTGAGGTGGTTGATAGCACTGTCGTGGCCAGTCCACTCAGGAAGTGAGTTGTGCATATCATTTGCCTAAAGCTTGTTCGATCTGTTTCTGCTCTGCTTCTAGAGTTTTTGCTTGTGGCTGTGTCTATGTTTGTGTGTTTGCCTTCCAATTGTTTGATTGTTGCTGTGTTTCTTTGTTTCTTTGTTTGTCTGTCCCTCTGCTTGCCTGCCTGTCTGTATCTCGGTGTGTGTGTGTGTGTATGTGTGTGTTTGTTTGTTTCTCAGTTTATTTTTCATGTGCAACTGTTTGCAGTTAACATGACATTGATGACTTGATAGTGTTCAAACAAGAGCAGCTTTCCCATACTGATGCCGGTGGCAACAACTCGTTGTTTGGTCATCAAATGCGGCTACATTTGGAAACACGTGAGCATGCTGCCTTACCCTCAGCACTACAGGATTATCACCAACACCGAGGTGTCGAGGATTGATGAGCGCATCATGTTTATGTCACAAGAATTGTTCCCCAACGGAAAATGACATTTACCGCAAAGCTAGATAGTCTTCATCGGGTTGATTCTGTGATACAACTAGTTGATGTGGTGGCTAATATTGACCTAATCCACAGAAGCAAACCATTGGGGGAGCTGCAAACCGGTACGCTGAAACGACTCGCGCAGATTGCTGTTGCATAACCGTCAGAACCTGGGGACAGGTCAGCACATTGGCAAGCATCTAGCTGGATTTGTTTGGCTTGAGTTGCACTCAATACGCACAATCAAAACACAAACTCATTTTCCCAAAGTGGCTCGACTTTTTGATTTATTGTTTTCTGCGTGTGTGTCTATGTCTGTGTGTGTGTGTTTGTGTGCGTGTGTGTTTGTGTGTGTGTGTGTGTGTGTTGGTGTCAATATCAAGTCACGGCCACCTCACTCTTGTTGTTTTAAATTCCTGGGGCAGACGGCTCAAGCGTTCTGAAATCCCACAGTACGCTGTTAGCCATGAAATTCCTTGGAGCGCTCTGTGTTTTGATTGCGGTGGCGGATGATGCCTGCGACTCGGGCAACATGTTGCTCCAGTCTTCCGCTCGCGCCCGACGGGAGAAATATCATTGGCCCACGGGGCGGGGGTCCTTTCCGAACCCTGGCATCTCTGATGAAGTGGCGCCAGTGCAGATGAACACCTCTTTGGCATGGTCACGGCCTCAACTTTCGGTACCATTTTTTAGCTTTGCCCTTAGACGCATGCTGGAAACCACTATTTACTCCCCTGCCAGGATCATTTTGTTGGGGGTCAATCCATTTTTCTTGCGCTTTTTGACTATAAGGTCATGGCACCATCCTGCTGGAAGGTTTCACACCTTGACCTATGGCACGGCGATTGACCATCAGCTCAACGTCTACCTGTCGGCCGCGGATGGGCTCCGAAAATTCGACAAGAATGGGAACTTGCAGTGGGAGCACATTACGCTGCCGGCGCACCGAGGCAGTTGAACCAGCCATACGTTTTGGCTCCTTTTGGAGGTTGGAGGGAGTTTTTTTTAATGACACACCACTCCAAAAGTTGGTAATTTGCACATCAACGAAGCACTCAGGAACCTCATGAATGCTCCTGCCATCTACCAGGGAGCGATCTATGCCACTGACACCTTGGGAGGCGTTCGAGCGCTGAAGATGAGCACAGGCGAGAAACTTTGGCATACGCAGATGGCCGAGCCTGTGGGCGAGGACGACCTTTTGTTTTGGTTTCGTCTGCTGGTGTCAGGTATCCTCGAATCGGTTGGAATGGGTGGTTTGGGGAAATTTGCAGCCTTGGCCTTTGTAGTAAATGGGAAACCGCCCCAGCAACCACTTTTCCAAGCTACAGGGAAGCTGATGGTGGGAAGCTGATGGTCAGTTTCAGTCTTGAGGACATAGTTTACGTCGGAAATTATGCCCACCAGCCGTTTTGGGGTTCCGTAGTCGGATTCACAAGCTGGTGACAGGACGGTTAAAGTCAAGCGCGTCTTCTTGTTTTTTGGGGGCGGAGGCTTGGTAAAGCGACCCTCGATTTCCTATCGACACACGATTGAGGACAACGGCTTTAGCATGGCTCACGCCGGGGTGGTTCTCACCGCTGCGGACCACCGGGATCCAGCTCCAATGGAAGATGGCGCAAACCAAAAAGTTAGGGCTTTGAACGCCAGCCCCTTCGTCAACTTTTGGGAGCATTGTTTCTTTGCCTTTTTCTCAAGTTGATGGTAGAACATACTGATTGCATCTGGATTGGGGCGCCTTTGACCAACATTTCTTGGAATCCGAGGTACTGGTGAGGTTCTGTGGTCCTATTCCCCGGACATGCCGGTGTGGAACTTCCTGCCCCTGTTCCCGGACCAGGAGACGTTTGTCTTCCAGGACTTGTCCGGCGGAGTGTATCGCCTGGGCCTGGACGGCCGGGAGATTTGGAAGGCGCCAGGCCACAATGGCAGCTGGACCGATGGCGGCGCCGCCTTGGGCTCCTCGAATCCACCGCCCAAAAATGCAACGACCTCAACTAGGTCCCCCAGTACTGCCCTTGTTGTATTGGTGTTTTTGTTTGTTGGGAGGCACCCTGCTTCTTGTTTTAGTTGGTTTGAACAGCGCGGAATCGGCCCTAGGTTCTGCGGTAGACTTAGGATACATTTTACAATTTACCAGGGACTCCATGTGAAGCAAACAATAGAATATATACATTCTATAACTGGGGCCTAACTCTAATCATGAACGACCTCAATGTGTTGGCTGAATCTTCCCATGGATAAAAAAAGGAAAAAATCCATTGAATCAGAGATCTGACCGAATCTGGTTGTCAAAAAGAGCCCTCTTTTAGTTATTCCCAAAGCTGAACCAGTTGTTCCTGTGTCCCAAGTGAGGTTCCAATGGCATGATGTACGCGGTGAACAACAACCGGCCACCGAACGCCCCGGCTGACGCCGACGCGCCGGGCACGTTGAGCGCCTATGACTTGAGGAACGGCGCCTTGAGGTGGCAGGTCACTACGCCGAGGCCGCCGAACAACGCCCCGGCAGTTGGCAAGTTGGCGGGATGGAGCGGCCTTTCTGTGGTGACTCGCACCACTCACCTTCCATCTGCCGATTTGTTTTAACATATTTCCCCCCCTGTTTTTCAAAGGAATCAAGTTCACTACTGGCAAAGAAATTTTGTTTTTTTAGTTTTATTCAGCGGACGTATTTACCTGGCACCGTTTCTCCTTTTTGGGCAGGGTTTTGTTTTTGACAAACGACCAACAACAGATTTGACCCCGATTGGACCCCCCCCCTTTTTCCCATGGTCTTCGGCATCTCCAAAACGATGTTCTACTTTTGGGCAGACGACATATGAAGCAGAACCAGCAAGCCTTTGATTGGTGTGTGTGTGTGTTGGTAGATTTTGATAGGCCACCCTGTGGTGTTCATCAAGACTCGGTGGGGATTCGTGTCCACCACTTGAACTTGGTGGTTCTATGAAAGTTCAATTCGCCTTGCGTGCTGTTTTTTTTTTCTTTTTCCTGGGGGGCCCACCAAACAGTGGCTGGGTTTGCCTTGTGGTTTTCCTTCACCAAGGGGCACCTTTCGCCCCAAAAAGACAAAGCCGACGTGTGGTTGCCAGCTGACGCCTGCCTGAGGTGATGCCACTGTGCCAGCAGGTGCTGAAGGGCGCCGCCTGCGACGTCCACGCCTACGACGCTGACACGGGGGCCCTGCGCTGGGTCTTCCATGGGCCCACGCAGAAGCGCCTCTATCAGGCGGGCGACGCGGAGGGCATGCGCCCTGGATTGAAGCGCGCGCTCTCGTGTGCCTGTGTGCCTGTGTGCCTGTGTGCCTCTGTGTGTGTGTGTGTGTGTGTGTGTGTGTGTGTGTGTGTGTGTGTGTGTGTGTGTGTGTGTGTGTGTGTGTGTGTGTGTGTGTGTGTGTGTGTGTGTGTGTGTGTGTGTGTGTGTGTGTGTGTGTGTGTGTGGTGGGTGTGATGTGGGCGTGTGAGTGTGTGCGTTTTGTTTGCTTACTCCGCAAGTTCCTGGACTTTAGGTCGAACTTTTGGGATCGGAGTTTAGTACGTACACAGTTTGGTCTTTTGGTTGCCAATCCACTCAGGAAGTGCACCTCCAAAAGGGGGGGTGCTTTAAAGGGAAGGTCAAATCAAGATTTTGGACGCCCCTTTTTTGAGACATAGCCAATTTTTTGAGGTTTCCAAATTGCAAATTTAGACCACCCGGGACCCGGGAGGTTCCCTGAGTCAGCTTCCAAACAAAGACTTGGTGTCCCTTTTTCCTTTAAGTCCAGCTGTCAAACAACGAGTCGCTACCGAACACAGAATTGGCGCCTGCTTCTCTTGTTGTCCCCGCGTTTCTTCCTGGCACTCTGAGGATTGATCGTACGAAGTCTGGGGTGCGTGCTTTGTGCCTCCCCAACGGCTGGAGCGCGCCCTCCATCAGCGGGGACGGCACAGTCTACGTGGGCAACGAGGAGGGGCCCTTATTCGCCTTGCGGGACCTGGACGGAGATGGCCGAGTCTTCGGAGAGAACCTAAGCTGGACCAGTGGATCCGAGTTGCCATAGTACTAGGTCCCCCAGCTAGGTGCCCTTTTACCGTTTCTTTTGTGGGGGAGGGTTCCCCTATTACACTAGACTACCTAAAAAAGGGTACCCTTATTCTAACCACTCTACTGGAGGACCTAGAATAGGTAACCAACCATTTTACCGTTGGGTTTTGAAAGGGTGATTCTCTTGGTTACCTACTATATGGCTAAGTGGAATCACTGCGTGTTGTTGGTTGGAAGGGATCCGTGAGGGAGCTAGGGGTATCCTTGAAAGGGGGAGCGAAGTCGATCGGAGCTATCGATCGGAGTTCTGCAAGGGCATGGCAATTGATCACTTGAGCGACCTTTGAGCTCCCCAAAAGAGCCATTGGTGTGTCTGTTTGGAGCTGGTACCCCCTGTTGGCTTCAAAGGGAAACCAAAGCAGATGTGTGTCCCCTATTCTGAGACAATCCGATTTCTGAAGGTACCTGGTTTAACTAGGATTATAATAAGGTCCGTGTAAGCCTATTGGAACCATCTTTGTAGAACAAAAAGTCAGGGGGTTTTGGTCGCTCACTTGTTTTTCTTTGATTCTCGTTGGTTTTGAAGGGACGCCAAAAGGAAACCACACATTTTGGAGGTTCCCCTATTTTGAGACACGCCTTCCCAGCCCGTACCGTTCCCGACTTATAGAGTTGGGAGTTATCATTCAGTTTTGCAAGCTTGACTGTGGCAGGGGGATTTTCAAGGCCTTATTACGGCCTTAGTAAGGTTTCATTTGGGGCTGCCTCCCCCTCCCCCCCAGCCCCCTTGGGAAAGCGCAACGGTTAAGGAATGAGGTGTCTTCATACGACACCCTGGCGGCCTTCTCTGGCTCATCAAGTCCAGCCATTGCTCCGGGCATGCTGGCGGCTGCCTCCTGTGACAGCTTGTTCGTCTTTAAGGCGTGAGCCCTCAGCTCGAATTTGAAGCGAGCGAAAGGCTCGGCTCCGTTGGGACCAGAAGACAACCGTGAAAAGAACCGAGGAGCTGGCGGAGGCCACGGGACAATCAACATACCAAGACTCCAAACACTTGATTGTTTTGTGCGGCCGCAGCAAAGCAGTCGCGGGACGCGTTGCAAGCGTATGCGTTGACATGCTCGTTCCATCGGCTTGCATGACGCTGTCAGCATGGGTTTGTGACTCCTTTCGCAGGGATCCAAATCCCATGTTCGGCCAGTTTGGACCGTTTGGATCAGTACCTTTACCTGTTGAACATGAATATTTCACGATTTGGTTTGATCATTGTGGCCCCGGAGTCACAAACAGCGTTCGGCTGTTCGCGTTGATCCAGTTTGCTGCTTGAGGTCGTTGGCCAAGATCGCCGCAGGCCCGCGGGCCGAGGAACCAGCTGGCTGGTGATGGGTCAACTTTCGACCACGGGACCGCATGTTTTAAAAGGTTTAGCCATTCTTAAAAAAGTTTTAGCCCATCTTTACATATGCCAGGGTTCCATTTTTGCTTACCTCTTTTTGACCCACGGACGTGTGGTCTGTAAAAGGAAAGTCAAAGGACAGATTTCGCGGGAATCCATTTGAGTGTGCTGCGATCCCGCAGCAGCGAGACTGTGCATGTCTCCCGGAGTTTGCACCGTGTCCCACTTAGATTCTTTAGGGAGCCCTCGTTTCAGGTTTGAATCGTGCTCCACCAAGGGCTGGGAGAGAATGGTGCCCTTTCTATCCCCGGGTCGGAAGGGGACTCTCACTTTTGCGCTTCCCGAAGAACGAAAGTTCGGGAAGGCCATTTCCCAGAGAGCGGATTCCGAGTCCCACAGCCCGATTTTTGGGAGAAATCAGTGGTTGAAATCTTTTTTCAGCCCAGAAAAAACCCTTGTTCATCCTTGTCAAGAGTCACACTCTTTGCTCCCCATATCTCCAAAGCTGCTCCTCACCTGCACATGAAATTGGACTCCATTTCCTGGATCTTAAGTTCGCTTGGGAGGGAAGCCGTAGTTTTCCAACCCACCGGGTCATCCCTTTCCCCTTCAGATTTCAGGGTTCAGGTGGTTCACAGAGCCGCGGTCAGACCATGGACTCTTGTAGGAGTATGTTGCGATTGCTCTTTACGGGTCCAAAAAAGGTGTTCTTTTTGCAGTCCAGGTTGTGCATCTTTGGTGACCCATGTTTCGGGGAAAAATATGGGCTGGCACTTGGGAGTCTTGGCGACTCGATCCTTGCTGAGCTGTGTTGGCCATCGCCATTTTGCTTCTGAAACCGTGCGAGGGAGCTCCCCAGAAGCCCTGGCAAGGCCTTGGTAAAACTTCATGAGGCTTTTGTAAGGTTTCGCGGTCCTTAGACCATACTATCTTAAAGGCGGCCTTTGGCTCCCCGCAACTGCCTGGGATTAAGCGCTTTCATTGACTAAACATGGATTAGACGTATGCAAATGTTGCGTTCGGTTAGTTCGCTGTGTTGGCAAACTCTGACCCGTTTCTCCAACCCCCGCCCTTTGACGCCCTGTTTACCTTTGGCTTACGTCAACAACAAAAGATACCGGCGCCCCCCGCTTGCAAACTTGAAACCTTTAGTTGGCTGCAATTCGGGCGAATATCTTCGAGCTGTGCAAAGCAACAGTGATTGAATTCTTATATTGGGAGTCGCCTATTGTGTGTTCAGATATAGAGTTTAGTAAGTGTCTGTTGTTCCACATGTTGGAATTAAACAAGGAGGAGATATTAACATCTCCTGTATCTGCCCTTTTTACTTTTTAAGATGATGCTAGTAACAAATTGACAACCTTGGTATCAGGTTGAAGGCTGACCGTACCTTGTGAGGATGTGCCAAATGACCCCCTTTTTGACCCCTTAAGTCCATCCTAAGATAGCAAGGGACCCGTTTCCTTGTGGGTATGTACCAACAAATGCAAAACTCCCAAATACAGTGGGTCTCCTTTAAACCGGTGTGGCTCCAAATTAACCAGCTGGAGCAAACCGCAGGTTTTGGTCCATGTTTCCACCTACTAGGGTTCCGTTTTGGGTACCGGTTTTTTGAGCCACAGCAATGTGTGTGTGTGTGTGTGCGTGTGCGTGTATTTGTGTGTGTGTGTGTGCGTGCGGGTGTGGGTGGCCGTGGGTGTGGGAGGGTGGGTGATGGGTGTGGGTGTGTGTGTGTGTGTATTTTGTGAAGGTACTATTTGTGGGGTCACATACACCCACATACTCTTCTTCAGGCGCCCTGATTGCCGTGACAGCCACCTCGCTGATCTACGCTACACTGCGCATGCGCCTGCGCAGCGAGCGTGAGCTGGTGGAGCCGTTGGAGCTGTTGCCACCCGGCAGTGGTATTGGCTAAGGAAGCCCTTGAGAGGGACCGAATCTAACCTTCTTGTTTTTCATGGTTTCGTCCCAAACGGTTGACATTTTATTATTCATATGTTTTTGGGAAGGGTGTGTCAACACTAGGGACAGCATTTAAACTTCTTGTTCTTTATTTGCTTCTTTGCTTGCTTGGCTTGCTGCCTGGCTGACTCGCAGCGGGCAGGCTGGCCGTTTGTGTATTTGAGGATGCATGTGTATTTGATGTTATAGTCTCATAAGCTCACCCCACCAAAGGAAACTCACTTGAAAAGGGTCCAGGCAACAATTCAGTTGCTCCACAACTTGAATCTCGGGACTATTGCTCTTGAAGACATGAAGGCGTATGTAATGCTTATATGATTCGCATCTTTGTTGGGTTTCATATACCTCCAAGCCCATACCTGACACTGGCGTTGAGTCAGGGTGTCATGACACAGACCGGTGTTTGGTGCGATTTGTCTGAATTAATATTATGACTTCATTCATTTGCAAGAGCAACGCTAGTTTTAACCCATGCCTATGAGCATCGTACTGTTGACTTGAATGACATGTTTTGTTGGAGTTGCCAAAAGGGCTGAAGTGTACGATTGGACATTGTCGGAAAATCGGGACCCGCGGAGGTGACCTGCATTGAGTTCGCGAATGCGAGGAAATTGTGGGTAAAGCGGCGAACGGGGGGTGGCCCACGAATCATCGTTGATTCCATTTCCCCATGCGGGGCAAGACTGGATGATGGGAACGGGGGACCTCTGCTAGGATGTATAGATCCCATATACGAGCTGACAGGGCTTTATTTCCGGAATAGGGCCAGACTTATTGGGCAATGAGCCCGTAACCAGGGCTTCACAACAGTGGTTCATACATGTGTGAACACATTAGGCCTTGGGATGTATTTTCAACCCTACACCCGCGGGGTGCGGGGTATACTTCAACGGAGTTGGGATAATCAAGGCCGCATAGCTATTTGCTTTTCTCTGGCATCGCGCACCTAAAAAGGTCCGGCTGGTGTCGGGTGATCTATGACATCACTTTAAACAAGTGCCAGCCTCCCAGTTTACCTTCAGGCTGACAAATAAGACACGGCATAAAACACTGCTCACTTGCCCAAGGCCAGCATTTCTTCTTTCACTTTTACACATGTGGTTGTTCCTCGTGTTGGTTTTCCCACAGAATGGCACGCGTATTTGGACGGAAGCTTGGTTATCCAGTACTTGATTTGTCGAATTCTGTCAACATCCAGCAGCAGGGCAATCGGTTTCGCTGGCGATTGCCACTGAGAGAAGCAGCCGCCCGAGGCCCTCGGAGTGATGGCCTTCCGAAACGCGTTGCCTCTTATTTGCCCCTCCGGAAGTGAGGAGGCCATTTGTGCGATTTGTGGCTGTGCCGACCGGGATGAGCTGGCAGGGATTCAGGTCGAGAGAGCTTTTGTCTTTTTGGCTTTCCCCTGGCAAGTGGTCCACTGGAGTGCGTATATTCTTTTGTGGGACGGCTTCAACTTCAACTTTAAGTCGAATCATTTCGTGAGCTTCCTTTTGGTGGGGATGTTTGAAGGAACCATGTCCGAAGCCTGTTTGATTGGGTCTTTCGCAACATCGCCTAAGAAACTTGAAGCCCTCCAGCCGTGCCCTGAGCAAGAGGCCCCGGCAATGTGTTTGTCGCTGGCGCCACGATGTACAGGGTTTCCAGCTGGATCCGCATCACTGGTAGGCTGCTACGCTCTCAGGGCGACGCAAAGACTTCCCAGACGAGCGGAACAGGGGTGACAGTTGCGCAGAGCATTTTTGTCCTTTGTTACAGACCCGGCTTTGCATTTGCTACCCTTTTGTATGAAACAAGGGCTGTGTGCAAATGAATCTAGAGACTGCTATGACTTGAATACTTGGTTGAAAGGCTGGAATCTTTCACAACCGATGTCAGGATGACGTGCTCGTGTTTACACACTGATTGATCCGTCCATGCAAGACACATGTGCCCCAATTGGCCATGTCAAGAGCAATTGGTTGACAGGATCGCAGGCACACAGATGAGGGTTGGTGGGCACTCTCGCTGGATCTATGGCGGATCCGTTTGTGTTTTGTGGCTTCAAGGCTCTTTGCTTGGGCATAGCTTCGGTGCACGAGTTCATGTTTGTAGTATTTCGGATGCTGGTTGACACAAGACACGAACATCTTGCCAAGTCAGCCACTGTTTCGTGAGACCTGGCCAAGAGGACGATCAGATCACAGGTACCTTTGGCACAGGATGGCAATGTTGAGCGCCTGTGAGTGGTTCTTGACGGCGGGTTTATTTTTTACATCAGCTGTCTGATGGGCGGTGGCTGTGTCTGTCCGACGTCCGACTTTCCGGTTCCTACATTATGTTGGCCCCTCAAGGTCTAAATACCTTGCGAAGAGTCGATTTGACTTCCCTTTTTGGCTCCTTTTTGGCACATGTGGCCTCCCTTTTGAAATTTTACATAGCGCATGTTCATTCAGGAAGGAATCACACCTCCGAGGTGGACATGCGACCAAGGAACCCGTTGCATGGTTCCAATCCAACTTCTGCGTGAGATTCCGGCTCGAGATGATAGGATGACCGGCCATGACGAGTGGGCGCCTCAATGTGTGTGTGTGGCGCGTGTGTGTGTGTGTGGTGTGTGGTGTGTGGTGTGTGGTGTGTGGTGTGTGGTGTGTGGTGTGTGGTGTGTGGTGTGTGGTGTGTGGTGTGTGTGTGTGTGTGTGTGTGTGTGTGTGTGTGTGTGTGTGTGTGTGTTGGTGGGTGTGTGCAGTGTTTGTGGGTGTGTGCAGTGTGTGGTATGTTTGTGTGCGAGTGTGTGTGTGTGTGTGGTGTGTTTGTGCTTTTTTGTGTCTGTGTGTGTCTCTTTGTACCTTTGTGTGTCTTTGCGTGTTTGTGTGTGTGTTTGTATGTTTGAGGGTACCCTTCTCAAGCTTGCTTTCGGGAGAATCAGAAGGAACAACAGTGCGGGTCCCCCCGATTTGGCGCATACCCATGTATCCGAGATCAGTTTGATTGCACAATCGGTGTAAAAGAGGTCATGGGCCTCTCCAAAGAGACAGCTGCGTGAGGATGTTTAATTAAACATGCTTTAAACAAATAAAACTAACCAACATGTTATACAATGAAGGTTTGACTGTCATTTGGATGTTTAACCATGTTTTTGTTGAAGACGTGTGCTTCCACCAACATATTTGGATGGATACTTCAACCTTCACCTCTCGGGGAAGCAAGGGAGTTCAGTTGGATATTGCTGGTATATTGCTGGTTGCTTTCAGCAAGCCGTGAAGAGACAAAGACAAGAGTGAACAGGGATGCATTCGCAAAGCAGCTTTTTTTTACACATTGGTACCTGCAGCACCCCGTTTCTTTTCTCGGGTGCTTGCAGGGCCCCTTTGCGCCTGACTGGGACCTATGTTTTGCCCGCGTGTTGGAGGTCGTACATGCCATCCTCTCCACTCATAGCCTGACGGGGGAGTTACTGACGCAAGGAATAGACGGAGCGTCTCAGGATATCAATGGTAATTAATCGGTCTTTTCAATCGGCAGGATCTTAGCTGGGGCCTCCAAAGACCTACTTTAGTTTCAATGGGAACCTCGGATTAACCCCCTGGTTGATCACTTAGAGAGGGGTCAATAGGCTTCCAGGAGCCCAAATGATCACGAGGGATTTTTGCTTCCAGCCCCAGTTGCGCAGGTTCGATGTTGAGATGGCTCCTAGCCATCCGGTTCCTTAGCTTTTTTAAGCTTGGTGCGTGGTTGGATTTTTCCATTTAACCCGCGAAAGGTTAGTCACTTTCGCGGGGGATCTGAGGACAGGATGCAGTTTTGCGGCGGGTTGTTTCTTCGTTGCCAAGCTCCGTGATCAGAAGACATAAGTGTCTGTGGCTCACAAAAATGTGGAACCAAAGACTCACACCTGCGTAACCCCAGCCTTCTTGAGCCACACCCAAGTGTCGCCGAGGCCAAGGCATCCTGCAGCGCACTGTCTATGTGGGGGGTCTGGATGAACAGGCGGCAGCGTCTTGTGGAGTCCAATTTGGCTGTGGTGGTCAAAACCGTTGTGGGATCCCAGTTTGGGGTGCACCACCCATTCTAGAACCTAGTTTAGTGGTTGGATTGGGATGTTCACTGGGGGCTAACCGATTTGGATTTTGACCCATGGCCATAAGTTGGAGTGTGTATCCAAATAATCCCCCCGTCCCCCCAAATGGTAATGAGATTGTGGATGAGTTTTTGCGAACTCCAGGAGGTCCGATCGGCGCCGCTTGGAAGGGATTCGCAAAACAATGGAAAATTGTCTGGTGCAGGATGTGGACAGCATCCACAGTATCGTTGGTCTACTGTTGCTTTGGAGAGGACGAGAAGGGGGCACAGCCCAAACTACACTCTCCACAGAAACCAGTGCTGCGGCCCAGCAGAGAATTATTCCATGTCCTTTTGGTGAACAGGCAATATTTACAGTACAGTAACGTTGTCCGAGACACGCTAGCAAATTCCAGTGGTTCAGGAATTATGTGGAAGTATCCCAGACCACCAGCGCCCTATGTTCATAGGGCGGCTATGCCGCAATGACTTGTAAAACCCCGAATACGTCTTAGAGGCTCCCCCCCGCCCACCACCCCCCAAAGCACCCCCTAGGTCGAATGCCTTAGGGGGGCATTTTGGGGTTTGGGGACTTTGAACCTCTATTTTCTGATTCTCTACTCAGCACGCGGCAAGGTAGGTGAAACTTTGGTTTGAATGTTCACTTTTCCATCTTGTGCAACATAACGTGTGTAGCAAATCACTATCCTTTGCAGGGTCTAAGAACAACCCAGTTACTCATTGCGCATGACGGGTGTGGGTTTTTGACAGGCGTTCGACCGCAGGTCGAACTAGGCCGGAATGCAGAGTCGCGTCCATGCGCCTGGCAGACATTCGATTTCACCTTCATTTCAAGTAGGTTGATTGATTCATTTGTCCTGCTGCTGGGCAATAGATGCTAGTCAGTATCCCCCCCCAAAGAGTTGAGCATGGGTATTGGCCTTACTCATGAGAGATGACACGCGTACTTTGGACGTCGCTTTATTTGAGCTTCATGTTTCTAGTTCGGCTCCCCGGCATTGTTTCCATGTAGTAGAATCCACAGCAAACACTCAAATAGCCTCATACAGGTGTTTCCTTCTGTGGATAGTGCTTGGGTTTTTGGTCTTTGTTTGTCTTGCAACTCGCATTTCACACAGGACCTTTCTGCGCCATGCAAGTAGAAGTGTACTTGCCCAGTGGAAGCGGTTTCTCCATCTCACTCTCACCGGAGACGCCCATCAGCGAGCTGAAGGCTGCAGCGCAGCAACATTTCCAGCTCGGCTTCCTGAAGCTCTTTGCAAGGGGCCAGCCGCTTGATCTGACGGCCACGCTGAGCCGAGCCGGCTTGCGAGATGGGGACCTCGTCAATGCGCTTGCGCAGCCTGTCCAACTGGCAGCCACTGACACGGCATTCGCTCTGTACGTCCAGGGGGGCGAGGTTGTGACATGGGGTGATCTGCGTGATGGTGGAGACAGCAGGCATGTGCAAGAACAGCTGAGGAATGTCCAGCAGATTCAAGCGACTGGCTATGCTTTTGCGGCCATTCTTGACTCCGGAGCTGTCGTGACATGGGGTCATCCAGACAGGGGCGGAGATAGCCGCAAGGTGCAAGAACAGCTGAATAATGTTCAGCAAATTCAAGCAGCTCGCAGTACTTTCGCTGCCATTCTAGACTCTGGAGCTGTTGTTGCATGGGGTGATGATTACGATCATTGTTATCAGGCTTATGTTTTTGATGAGCAGGTTGATTTTGACGATTATGATGATGATTTGCCAGTGCGGCTGAACAAAGTTCAGCAAACTCAAGCAACTGCCCGTGCTTTTGCTGCCATTGTGGAATCTGGAGCTGTTGTGACATGGGGTGATGAAGACTACGGCGGGGACAGTAGCCAGGTGCAAGAGCAGCTGAACAATGTTCAGCAGATTCAAGCGACTGAGCGTGCTTTTGCTGCTGTTCTTGAATCTGGAGCTGTTGTGACCTGGGGTGATGAAGACTACGGCGGGGACAGCAGCCAGGTGCAAGAGCAACTGAAACATGTTCAGCGGATTCAGGCGACTGAGCGTGCTTTTGCTGCTATTCTTGACTCTGGAGCTGTTGTGACATGGGGTGACTCTGTTGGAGATAGCAAGGTTCACGAACAGCTGAAGAATGTGCAGCAAATTCGAGCAACTGATCGTGCTTTTGCTGCCATTCTAGACTCCGGAGCTGTTGTGACGTGGGGTTTTCCGCGTGATGGTGGAGACAGCAGCCATGTGCAAGAACAGCTGAGGAATGTCCAGCAGATTCAAGCGACTGGCTATGCTTTTGCTGCCATTCTTGACTCCGGAGCTGTCGTGACATGGGGTCATCCACACAGGGGTGGAGACAGCAGCCAGGTGCAAGCGCAGCTGAGGAATGTGCAGCAAATTCAAGGAACTCGCTCAGGTGCCTTTGCTGCCATTCTTGGATCTGGAGCTGTTGTGACCTGGGGCGATCCAAACTACGGCGGGGACAGCAGCCAGGTTGAGGCAGTGGCACTTGACCGTCAATTGCCTGAGCTCCTCGAGTGAGTGGTTTTGCTCCAATCTCTGCATGCCCGTTTACTTCTTCGATTCATGTCGCAACTGCCAAGTGCGAGGCTTTGCCAGTCGGACACATCCCAATGCCCGTCCCATCACCCTCCACTCCCGGAAAAGCTGATGCGTGTATGGGGTTCAGGAAAAGGTGCCTGTTTTTGTGTGTTTGAAAGGGGACCCAATGAGGAAGACAAAGGTCTGAATTACTGGATGGACACACACTCCACCAGTGATGATGGATGAAACCCTATGCTTGAGTTAACCTCCCAACTGGTGCGATGTGGAGTTTGTGGAATTTGGCTAGGAGTTTTTTGGTTTTGTTTTTTGTTTGGTGGACATGAATCCTTACCTAAACCATGTCCACCAAAGGATCCCCTATTGAAATTATCACACTCGCACACACACTGAACTGCAACCTCAAACTATGCCTGACAAGGGGAGATTACCCATAATTTCAGCGCGATATCACATGTTAGCAGCATTTTGAGGGTCCGAAGAGAACAAGTTGGCAGCCTCAGCGGTTTGAGCGGCCTAGCACTGGATCGCGTAAATAGGGGATCCTTCAAGGGAATGAAGATTTTCCTTTGGCTTCCCTTTACACCATTTCCAACAAGGGCACCAGCTCAACAAAAGGACGAAGCGCCCATTTGGCTGTGGCTCAAAATTAAAGAGGAGGGGCAAAGGGCAGGTGTTGGTCCATATTTCCACTTGATCGGGCAACTTGGGAATTCCGGTTTTTTTGAATTCGCCACAGCCAAATGGATGAACTCCAACCCCCCGGCCCCCCTGGCGAAGCCGAAGCCGAAATCGGCGCGAAAGCGCGCGGCATCGGTCGCAGGTGGACCGCAAGGTGCTGGAAGAGGCCTTCGCGCGCTTCGGAGATCTGAAGACGGCGGCTTCGATCGGAAGGTGGCGCTTTTTGGGTCACACATCGGAACTGGGCAAGTGACCATGCCTTTGAAGGCAAAGGGGGTCATCATTTCTTGACTGAAACACCCACAATATGAGGGGCAAAGGGGTCCTAAAAATAGGTACCTGGAGTCTCCATGACCCTTTAAACGTGGGGTCATTACCCAAAATAGAGGGGTCATGACCCCATTTTTAAAGGGTCATGGAGACTCCAGGTACCCAAAATGGCTTGCCCTTGTAAATGGACACATGGACTAGAATCTGCGGTCCATATCCTTGGTGGTTTCATTTTGACCCATACCCAAGTGGCGTTCCACTTTTTGGGAGGATGGCTTTGCTAGGTTTTCCAGCTAGGTGCCCTTTTGCCGTTTCTTGTTTGGGGGAGGGTTCCCCTACTAAAATAGACTACAGAAAAAAGGGTAGCCTTGATTCTGACCTCTCTACTGAAGGACCTATTTTGGCATGTTGGGGGAGCCAACCTCACTCCCTGAGTTGATGGACTTGACACTTTTTGGAAAGACAATCTTAGTGGTAAGTAAGCAGTTCAGACTGCTTTTTTGGCCAGGCAACTTGGGAAGTGAGCAGAGGGAAACACCAAAGGGTATGTGTGTGTGTGTGTGAGAGTGTTTGTGTCTCTGTGTGTGTGTTTCTCCTTTGGTTGGTTTTTTGAAGATCCGCCCTTTCGGGTGTTCAAAAGAAAACAACAAAGCAGCCAACTTACCAGCCACACCCATAGGGCTGAGCCAGCCACAGATATTCTAAGCCTCCTAAGCCAGGGGATGCTACCGGTAGCTTTGACTTGGCAATTCGGGGCCCTGTTTTTCCACCCCCAACCTGCTTTGTGTTGGTCCACCAAGCAGGGTCCCCTAACGTCAACTGAGCAAAGATTGTCAAGGGAATCCTGCGCGTAATCGCGTTGGTGTTTTGACATGGTGCAGACGTGGTTAGACTTGGTGTGGATATTAATGTCTCACACCCAGCTGGACATAGTCTCGATTGATTCAGTTCAGTAGGGAACAATTCGCAGTTGTTTGTCCGGTCATTGTGTTTGTCATGTATTTGTATGATGATTCCATGCACCACAATTTGCACAACAAGATAGCAATGGTGCATTCAACATAAATGTGACTCGTTGTTCCCACATGACTTCCGTCGTGTAGGCCTCTCCAGCTGCGCCCCGACGATAGAGGTGAGCGTTTCAGGGATTTTGTTTCTTAATCCACAGCAACAGCGACCACACGATTGCACGAACCTTGCCTTTGGTTCACTGTCCTTTGCCCACCAATTTCCGGCGTTCTTGTCCACTGCACAAACCATGCGTGGCTACTGAGGTGGAGATTCCGTTAGACTTGAAGACCGGGAAGCGCGGAGCCGAGCGGAAAGTGGTCGGTAGTAGCCCTAGACGGGGGTCCCTTTGGTTCGGTGGGCAAGCTCTCTGCAATTGTCACCTCTATCAACCCCCCGAACCAGACCCCAACACACCCAAAGGCGCCGAAAGCCGAGCGAAAGATTCTCAACACCTGTTCCCGTTACCTATGGGCGCCATGCTCCATGTTGATTGGAGCGTCTACGTGATGCCTTGAGGCCTCTAGGTTCGGGCATAATTTTGATTCCATGATTAGTGTGGCAAGAACATGGGTGAGTCTCTTACTTTCCTGTACAACCAAGGGACTCGAATGTTCCATATGATTCCCATGCCCAAAGCGGGCTTTGCTCCGAGCAGAGAAAGGTGGGAACTGAAGCTACGCCAAACGAATACGCCATGGTCAAAACACTGTTTCTTTGACTTCGAGTTGAGAGTCGTGGTTCGCTGAACAGTCATATTGCACCCGCGGGCCCACCCACACAGAGAGCTTGGCCATGGCACATATGGATTGGGACCACCTTTTGTACATGGCAACTAACCTTCATACCAATCTTCGGCTCTCCAAAGGGAAGCTGACTGTGACTTGGCTGTCAGGTAGGGGTTCAAGTTTCGGGATGAAAGATGGTTTCAGTACTGCCTTTCCATTTATCGACGTGCCCGCAGGTTCCCACACAGCGTCCCTTAACAAGTTCTGAACTTCGCTCCAAAAAGGAAATGGGCATATAATATCAGGTCTTGATATTAGTGCTTTGAATTTGCAGAGGCCGTGGTTTTCTTTGGTCGCAACTTCGCAGCTTCTTGGTGGGTTTCCTTGAGAAGCGGTTGGCTCTGCGCCAGCGGCAGGCACCGGGGCTTCGGCTTCGTTGAGTTTCAGGATGTCGAAGATGCCCAGGTCGCGCGTCGAAGCCTAGGGCTGAAGTCATCCTGCCCAGGGGTCGAAGCGTTTTGTTTCTTTTCAGGGTGGAATGACTATGCCAGGTCCCCCAGTAGTGCCCGCTTACCCTTTTTTTTGGGAGGGTTCCCCTACTAAAATAGACTACATACAAAGGGTACCCTTATTCTAACCTCTCTACTGGAGGACCTAGTCATGAAACAGAATCTGCACACATGTTTTTTCCGAGTACCGCAGATGTGCACGGGGATGAGATCTGTGTTTTCATGTTGTGTGTTTTTGTTGGCCATGCTTTTTCTATTTGAACATCATATATTCCTTGGAGCTGGGCTTCAGAAGCCTGCCGCTCGCCTGGGGGAGGCTTGGAGAAAAGAAAAAACATATGTTGCGATCTGAAAAATACGATAGAATACCATGTATGCTTTGGTGCATTTTGCCAAGGGATGTTAGGACTTTAACTTTTTGCCAACTAATGTGTTTTCCATTAAACCACTAAAAGCTAAACTTTTGGCAGGGGAGCAGAAAGCAACCGAGTATATACGCATACATATATATTAGACACATTCGCGAGCTGAACAACCAACGAGCCACTTTCCCACTGTGACAAGTGCGTTCCCACGATTTCCCTGCACCACACTTTGATGTGATCAGCGTTTTCCTCGGGGGGGCCAACAAAGACCGCCAGGCGGCAATCGACAATATGCACTTGTCCGAGATCTTCGGCCGAGTGCATGGGCCTCAGGTTCGACTTGCTGACTGGGAGCCTTAAAGATTGAAGGCTATTCGGTTCTTCTTGAAGCTGGTAAGAATAATTGAGGCCTTTGCCTTTTTCAAGCTGTGCAAAACTAAGCATTGCGTTGTTCAAGTCCTGTGTTTATCGCATTTGGCACAGTTGACACACGATCGCCTCGATTATACGATGGAGTTGGTCATGGACCCAGTATAAGTCATGAAGACAACCATCACGAGGATTCCTGACCAAACACGACGGAGTTGCCAGATGCTAAAAAGTGGTGTCTTCTTTTGACGTACCCACGGTAGGTACTCTTTGGGTGCCGTACCACCGGCAAACCATGACACGTCATTTTCACAGGTGTCCACTTGGGCGGGTGTTCTCCTGTTCTAAAGGAAGCCCAAAGGGACAACGCCTGTGTTCACACGTTGCATGAGACAGACCCCGATTCGTCAGCTGCTGCGTGCCGGTGAGTCTCAGGATCAAGGTGAACATCGCGAGGGCGCCGACCAACAAGCCGACCACGGAGTCCAACAGGCCCTCGGATCCGAAACGGTCGCCGCTGAAAGGCTTTGCTGCTGGCCTGAATTGGACCGTTATCCTTTTAAAGTCCCTGTTAGCTTCCATGTTAGTTGGTGGGAGCGTACAGCTATAGTAGGTAACCCTGTGCCACTTTCCTCTTGGTGTTTGCGGGCTGTCTGGTTTGTGGAGACAGATGGCACATGAGCAGGAGTCGGTAACCTATCGAACTTCAACTTTGATGTTGCCAAAAAGCAACGAGCAAACGAGCAAATGGGAGTTGCCTGGGGTCAGTTGTTTTTACTCTCGTTCTTTTTGGGGTTGAAGGCTGAACACGAGGTGGTTTTCCATTCATCTACCACTAAAATTGTGGGGCCAGTCTGGGGAACGTGCTCCATGGCTCAAAGGGTGATCCTTGGAGGCCGAAAACCTGCGAATCCAGCCTGGGGAGGGGTGGGGGACCGGGTTCGTGGGTTCTAGGCGGATTGGGCACCGGAGTTCGGACGTCCAAAAGGAATCTTTTCTGGGCGTGGGGGGTACTTCAACGTTAGTTCTGCTCTGGTGTCATGTTTGTTCTGCCGCCTTGAGTCTCGGGTCCACCCAAAGGATCAACATGTTCTCAACCAACCGTGAGTTGTACATCCGATTCATGCCGACTCTTGAGTATGTTTTCCATGCCCCAGTATATTTCATGACCTTCTTTCTAAGTTTAGCTTATAGGCCCAGAAACTGGACGTGGCGTCCAAAAAAGAACCCGGGCCGCCCCGAGATGTGTGGAGTCAGCAAACCCAGCGAGGCCAATTTGGGCTGACGACTTCTTCTATCGGAAGAAGCTCAAGGACATTGCTGAGAATACAATCTGCACTTGCTTCAGTTGTCCAGGGGTATTGTATGGTCCCCTGTGTGAGGCCTCACTCGTTTCACACAAACGCAAACATGTGCTCCGCGGGGGAGAGCATCCGGTGCTGTTTGTAACATCCGTCAGATTGCACCTTGAGTGGGACTGGGTACCTTTTTCGAGGGGCTTTGGGAAACCAGAAGCTTCGGAGTGAAACGAAGGATTCCACTTGGATTAATTAGGATCTCCACCCTGTTGAACAACACGTTCATATGCGTTCATATGGGTGTGTCTCGAAAAATGGACTTGGACCCCTCCCGCAGAAAAAAGAAAAGAGCAAGCACTTGGGGGTGGTTTCCGAATTGGCTTTCCCTGGGGGGAACAAAAACACCCTCCCAACCAGCGGAGCCTCGAACAAGTCGACGTGTTTTCGAATTGGTTTCCCGCAGGTTCCCAACTTCCTTCCCCCCCTTTTCCTTGGTTGCTCCGTGGGGAAAAACACCTTCCGGGTGTGGGGAATGAACCTAAAAAGTCGGGTCAAGGGGCCAAAAAAAACGCCGAGAGCTTAGCGGAGTAATTCCATCGTTCAGGAGGAAGGCCTGGAGGAGGGCGAAGGCGAGCCTCTCCGCATCGACCCGGATCGACTCGAATACCTCGCGCACCAAACCGGCACTTTGCGCGCTTGAGATTCGGTGGGCTTCGAGGTTTTTAGGGGGTGGTGTCGGAGTACTCTTAGGTAGTCTTCATTTTTTGGAGGGTAGTGTGAGAGTAAACTGAGGCATAGTTGATTTTTTAGAGGGTAGGAGTCCATGCAAGTATGAAGCTAGGGGTATAATATGCCCATACCCCTGAAGCAGCTTGTTCAGACCTAGTCCCCAATTAGCGGTCTGCGGATTCTGCGACTTGCAGCTTTGATTATGTGCTTTGCGGGTCACGGAGGGTGGGTTGCATGGATTTTCCTTGCCCATGTTGCGGTGTTGACCCACACATTGCAGCGCGGATTACGGATTAAGCAGATTGTGAACCAGAACAAGGATCAAGCGGACTACGGAACTCGATCAGGCTAGCCTGAAGCAATGAACTGTGGGCAATACCCATTTTTCCAAGGCTGCCGTTCACCTTGAATCAGCGGGGAAAGAATGTATTGAGGGGAAGAGATGACCACTTGTGCCAGGGCTTTCGGAGCAACCGTGAGGTGGACATAAATCGCCGTGCAGATGGGCACCAAAGGGGTTCCCAACCAAAATTCATACCAAATCGGCACTTCTTTGTTCGAGGAGAGCTTTTTGTGTTTGGATGACTTCAACAAAGAACACTTGGCGGGGTAGGTTTTAGGTTCTTAGGGTTTAGCCGGGAATTCCATTAAACCCACTTAAAGTCAAAGACAACTTTTAGCAGGGCATTGGAGGAAAGGATGCTTGAGAAAGCAAGCCGCCCGTGTTCTGAGCTCAGCCGGCCAGCTGCGCAGGCCTCGTGTGAGGCAGATACCTACCGCACGGGGAAGGCCTGGCTATAGATGGTTCTTGAATGCCTCTACAAGGGGACTAGGTTCTCCAGTAGTGCCCTTTTAGCCTTTTTTGGGGGAGGGTTCCCCTACTACAATAGACTACAGAAAAAGGGTAATTACTCTATTCTAACCTCTCTACTGGAGGACCTAGGAGAGGTGCTTGTCGACAGGATTCAACAGTTGCACTTGTGGTTGCCACTTGCTGTGACACTACACAGACCCCTTCAATAAGGACAAAGTCTGGAAAAACCCCGCTATGGTATCACTGAATGATCCGGGAAACTTTCACAGGAGAGCCACCTGGATGCGTTTCACTTTGATTGTTTTGAAAATCTTTGCCTGTAACCAGGAGCCTTGCCCAACCTCTGCACCCTCTTTCCAGCAATTGCGGAAGTGGGGCAGCGGCCCCTCCTGTGCACTCCCATTGCTGGAAAGAGGTTTAAGTTAAACATCGCTCGACTCGATCGTTGCACGTGTTCAAGGACCTGCGCTGCGCTGGGAAATGTCGACCGAGATGGTCGGACCAGCAGTGGGGAAAAGAGGCATCTGCAATGCGCGGGACTGTGGCAATTGCCATAAATAATTGACCCAGGATTGCCAAATTGTTGGTTGAGTAATAGGGAGGTGTCACATGTCAGAGGGTTTCCTCCCCGTTTAGGAGAGCCCCACTAAGGGGAAGATTTAGGCGATGCGTCAAGCCCTGTATTTGGCTTCTCGGAAAAAGAACATGTGGTTGTGTCAGGAGCTATGTATAAAATACAGGAACTATTTAAAACACCCACAGAGCTATATACACATTCCGTGCCTGGTATGTAAAGGAAAGATTTATTAAAGCAAAAGAAGCAGGAGCTATTTACAAGGCATCTTGTTTTTGTTTGTTCTAGGAACTAGCAAGAACATAGTTATGTCGTGCTCTATTTTTCTTTCTTGGAGATGTGCGTAAATTATATAAGTGTGCTCTTTTAGCTATTTGACTGCTCCGCGCGCCGGCCTCGCAGGTCCGCCGCGCGGGATGGATGGATGGACGCGATGGATGGCGGATGGATGGACGCGATGGATGGCGGATGGATGGACGCGATGGATGGATGGATGGATGGATGGATGGATGGATGGCTGGCTGGCTGGATGGATGGATGGATGGATGGCTGATGGATGGACTGACGGAGGGATGGATGGCTGGTTTGTGGACGGATGGAGGATGATGGATGAATGGATGGTTGGTTAATGCGTGCGTGCGTGGGTGCGTGGACGTGCGAGCGAGCGAGCGGCCCGCGCGTTGGTGCCTGAGTGCGGCGCGCACGCTCGTCATTAGGATTGGTTTGGGGAAGGCTGGGCCCCAAACGCGGGCGACGCAAGGGATGCAGGCGATGCACAAAACAGCTTCCGAAAGCGTCGGCGACAGTTTGCTGCATATTTGCAGTGTTTTTAAAGCCTTCCCCCAACTCGACCTCCAATGACCCCGCGGGCGGTGATGATACACCAAAGGCGCAGGACATGCAGACGATGCAAGGGGTCGGCGGCAGCAAGCGTCAGTCGGAAGGCAAAGCCGAGGCATGCACCCCTTTGAGCGACGAGGCCGGATTGACATCATCGTCACCTATAGCTCCTTCACAGCTAGCTACTCCTAACAACGCTAGACTAGACTAGAAGGGTGTGTTCAAGACTGGCCTCCTGTGCACGGGCCTTCTGTCCACATTTGCTTCATACGTTGTGTTGAAATAATTGGAAACAATTATTATCTTTCATCGAAAATATGAAGATGCGCCTGGCCAGTTTATGTTTGTTCTAACTATGATATAAATAACATTGGTTTTTCATTGACATTTGGTTAATAGCTCTGGGCTTGCCATCGAAGCTTTCCCCATAGCTTTTGTTCATGTGTAAAATGTCACTGACATTTTAAGTTTTATCGAATTTCTAGAAACATTCTGCAACCTGGGGTTTATGAATAGATCCATGGGACTTCCTGGGATTCATCAATAGCTTCACGGGATTTCCTGGATTTTTCTGAATAGCTCAATGTCAATCTCTGAGATTCTATGAATAGCTTCAAGGATTTTACAAATAAGCCCTAGGGCTCACCAGTAAGCACGCACGTCCTAAGGGAGATTGATTAACTTGATCCGGGGTCGCTTGTTTGGGAAGTCTTTCTTCTGAGGGGTGGCTTTTTTGGGGTACCAAATTTGAGTGTTGTGTTCGTTAAAGGGAAGCCAAAGGAGCGCCAACATTTTTTCAGGGTGTTCTATTTTGAGAAACACGTTACCCCCTAGTTTTGGTTGGAGCAACCCAGAGGCAGAGCATTGGCCTATTTTTAGTGATGCGCAGGATGTTTGGCGACGGTATTATCAGCCTCTTTTATTGCGAGCTGAGTTGGCATCTTTGACTTGTCAGACGCACGCAGACCCGCTGCTTGACTGAGACAAGTCAGTTCCAAGCACTTTGTTTTGTTCGTTTGGTTTCAGATGGCTTCCCTGTTGATTTCCGAAGGAGCCAGGGAGGAAGGCTCACCAAATGCAACGGGAAGCACAGAAGGTGTCCGACCTCACGTGAGCAGCGGGGCTTTCTAAGTGGTTGACCCGGTTTTGGGTGGTAGATGGATACGAGATGAAACAGCCCATGTCCACAGGTCCTCCATTTTGAACCCCCCCATGCGACACGGAACTGGTTCTGCTTCATCGCCGCATCCTGTGCTTATGCCTTCAGCCACGGAGAAGCTTGGCCATGGTGTCATGACGTAAGCAAACCAAATTCGCACGGCAGCTCCACACAGATGGAATGATATATGTGTGTGCGCATGTTTTTCAGGGTACCATTTTCGGGATTGTTTGTGGTTTTTTTTGAGGGTAGCCCTGATTGAGCACAACACAACTTGTTCAATATGTGAAAGCGCAGATGCTTTGACATGTACTTTGCAATGCAGTCATCAGCATGAAATCCCCTCGGCCGCAGGAATGCATGTTGGCACGTAGCTGTTGGTAACTCAATGCCAGGCCCCAGATGGTGCATTCAAAAGCCTCAATGCTTCCTTCATGGGGATTTCCCGGGCATTTGTTGTTCGAATCACGGAGTTGTTTTTTTAGGAGACTTGCCACCACAAAAAAATACATGACGGTTTCCCTCTTGGTCTCCATTTAAAAAGGGGTACCCTGGTACCCTCAACAAATGACAGACACACCAGACCAAACACGCTTGAACTTTGTTGCTGGTACGTGTCTGTCTCGCGCGAGCCATGCCTAGAGGGAATCTTGGATGCAAAGGATGGTGGGTTTTGATTCACGCTGCCCATGTTCTTGTCTTCGCTAATAAGCAAACGGCATCCCAGAGCTAGTTTGACACTTTGAATTGTTTGCCGGGACTTTGCATTTCAGCAAGGGATTTCCCCGAATTCATCCGGACGGTGCAACCGCACATGAAGCAGACAGTACCTCCCCTCGCACAAACATATGGCCTATCATATGGCACCTACCAGGTGCGCCCCTTGCCAAAGAAAGTAGAAACGGTTTTTCCATGTACCGTTCCACACCATGCCGTTGCACGCTGCTTGACTGGCCAATGGGTGCACTTCCTGTCGACTCCCCTTCAACGCCATCTCAAGTTTCAGATCTTTGGATCTTAGCTTCGAAGCGCAGCCGAGGGTGTTTTGCTTCTACCCAAAAGGCTGGCCCCGACCAAGGGCCTTTGACAACTTGTTGTCGGCTGCCGGAGAGCCGTAGGATGCGCTTGAGCTTGGTTTGTCTTAAAGTGGAGGAACTCCACCAAACGTTTGGTTTCACGCTTGCTTCTCTTAAGAGGAACGCCCGCTCAGAACAACAAATCTCAATATTCATACCGTCACAAAGTCATCCATTTTGCCCGTGCCCAGGAAATCACCTTCTGAGCCTTGTTCCCATGTTTGCCCCTCAAAAGCCATCCTGAAAGCGTACCAAGAGACTAGGGAAGTAATTTTTCGCGTCGATCCGGGAGCTTCCGGCAAAGGTGCCTGACCTGTGCGCAGCCGCAGGCGTGCTTCATTTGCGTCCGCAATAGCAAGGATTGTAGGCTCTATGCTCAGGCAAAGCAAAGGTGATAGCAATAGCCTAAACGCTTAAACCAAGCAATGGCCAGCCAAACATGTCCAAATGTTTGTTGTTCAAGACACAATTTGCGAACGAACCCAGTACTTCCAATTGCCTCTATAGCAGATATTGGCAGGTGACCATTGTGCTTCCCACTAGGTAGTACATGTTGGTTTGAGCGGTTATCTACTAGGACACTGGAAGCACAATGCAATGCCAGCAATGCTTGGGCAAGCAAAGAAGGACGCTCAGATTCCTGTTATGGTCGCGACGCGGCACCACGACGCGGGGCTCTTGTTGGCGTGCATGAAATCCTATGAGAACTGTCAACCATCTGGTAGTGATTTGTCCATTTGTATCCATGTTTAGGAAGCAAGGGAGCAGAGACTGGGGTCCTTTGCTACCGCCAACCCATCCGCACCGGCAGGCGACGTTGCTGGCTGGCTTCTGTGTTTCCAGAGGCGGGGGACTCACGTGGCGCAGTTGCACCTTATGACATGTCTATTGCTTAGCAAAGTGGGGGGGTTCAGTTGCGAAGATTCGGTTGGTTTCCGGTGGGTTTTCTTTCAGATGTTTGGCCAGCGTCAAGGCGGTGTCCACCATCTTTGAAAAACATAGAGGCAAAAAGCACAGACGAGTGGGTCTGCAGAATACCCTGCAAAAACATAACTTGCAGATTTTTCGTGGCGGTACCCCAATTGCAATTCTCCCCTTCGCGCATGTGAGGCAGCCAGGTGCGAGGGCCCAGAGCTGCGAGCTACTGGGGTTTCATCAGTTCCTTCAGGGAGGGTCAAAGAAAAAAGTGGGGGTCAAGCCCCAACTTGAGAGCCATCCAAAAAATTGGGCCGCCCCGCAGCCTTCAGTGGCCAGATGGGTGGGAAAAAGCGAGCGTTTCCTAGCCCAGAACCTGGGCTTACAGGGGGGCCTCTCCCACAGCTGCACCCAAAAGCCAAGTGGCAAGCACCGGTCTTGAGGCATGTGTCTCTCCCCATGGGTCCTTTGGTACCCGTTGGATGGTTTTTGGGCGGACATTCTATCATCCAAGGACCCAGAGACCGAAGAAGTTGGTAAGCTGTCCGTTTGTTTGGTACGATCCCTCAAAGCCTCCTGTGGTAAAGTACCTTAGGTACTCAGTGACCAGTGGGAGGCTAGCTATTCACCAGGTCTGTGAGTCAACTCAATGCCGTAGCGGCTACAGCGAACTTCCGTGAAGGTCTTGTAATCATGGTTCTACGTTTCCCAGCTTGATCCATTTGGGTGGCTCGTCGTCTAAGGTTGGACCTGGCAACGGGCTTCGTTTGGGTGTCCATTTGAAGCCACACACGAGGTACCCAAAGACGTGCTGATATCCGAGGCACAGCGCCCAGTTCCGCTTCATGCAGGCGCCTGCTTGTTAGCTGCAAAGGTCTTGGGATATTTTGCTCGCAGAGGCATGGAAGGACCTCGCTGGCCCAAGGGAATCGAGCTTTTAGACCTTTGGAATTTTTCTATGGTCCACTTCTAGTAAAGGTTCTACAGCCTCAACCTTGTATTTCCTGGTGCTTTGAGAAAGTGACACGATTTGGGGTCACCTAAAATTGAAGTCGCAAAGAGAAACTCGGCATCATCGGACGGTTGTGCGATCCGATCACCAGGCCTCGCACGGCCGTCCTGGCCAAAAGACGACTTCAGGCGCGGTTTGGAAGCAGCGGGCATCTCAACTGGGCCTTGTTTGGTTCATTTCTATCATGCACTTTGACGACTCTCTAAAGCCAAAAAGCTTGGAGGATTGAGGGCCGGAGAGCCTGAAAGTTGGACCCTTGGCCCTTGGAACTGTGTGCGCGTCGGGTCGGTAAACGAGGGCCCTTTAAACCCAACCAGCGTGTCAACCAGTCGTGACCTGAACTAAGTAAGGATTAGCCAGCGTTTCGATGCAACCCGGTTTTTGCGGGAACGCCTCGAACGCACCGTCAGGCCTTTCTTCGTGTCCGCGGCGCTGAGCGCAGGGATTGCGTCCAAATGCCAACGAGCGAGGCGCCTTGGCGAAATGGTGGGATGTTTCACGGGTTTTTTTGGTGGGTCTGCGGGGGGAGGGGGGACCGGTGTTTTTTTGTTTACTAGCCCCGGCTTGGGGCTGAACCCCGGCTGGGCCCAGTAAAATTCATAGCCATTTTTGTGAGTGAAAGTCTCTTAGCTTGCTTTCAGTGGGTCCCACCCAGGGGACCGGTATACTAGTTTCAACCACCAATTTCAAGGGAGACCAAGAAGATGCTACTAGCCCTTAAATGACTTGCAGAGGCATGTGTGATATCGGAATGGGACAAACTCCAGTGGTTTTGAGTTCTTGGACTGGTTGCCCTTGCTTCATGACTCAGTCATACTCAGTCTCACTTTAGCGGCACACGTTGCCATTGTTTGTTTGGCGAGTTCCCAACCAACTCATTGGGCAAGTGAGCATTTCTTCCCTCTCAGGTGACTTTCCAATGAATGTAACACATGTCGTGGGCAAGCATTGGAGTTAGGGTTTAGAGTTTAGGGATCTGTCTAGTCGCGAGTTTGGGGCATTGGAGTTTTCTTTGGCCGATGAGATGTTTAGAATGGCCATTCACGCCTCTTCAGAATGGAATTGAGGGGGGTGACAAGGTGAGCAGCCATCAGCCTGCTCACGTGGGTCTCTGTGTTTTTGTTTGCGGGATTGGCGTTGACACTCACAAAGCGGATTCATAACCACTGCGGTGCGGATGATGAGAAGTGGGCAGTTCAGCCAAGGCGGGTGCCACACCAGGCCGGGCTAGCCGGGCCAGCCACGGATGGGAGCTCGGAGCAACCTATCCCAGGGATCCCAGGCAAGCCACTGGTTTTCAGGGGCAGCCCGGGACTGAGTGTCAGATGCCTGTCCATGTTCCTTTGAGATCATTGTGTTAATCCCAGGGTCGCTTGGTTCGTGAGGGGTCAAAAGGGTCATGTCATGTGGTACCTTACAAGATAGTATAGACCCAGGTATAAGGGTGGTTTCTTTGGTCACGGACTCCGTTTCCAGCCTCATGACAGGTTCCTTCGTGTGATAGACTTGAGAGTAACCCAGCGACCCGATGCAAATGTGCATTGCTCGAACTGTAGCCATGTCAGTCAATAGCTACCCAGCAGTCTACCTGGATTGGATTTTTCACCTTGGACTCTTTGGGGAAGAGGGTGCCTTCTCTGAAACATGTTATGGGGGTTGATCAACAGGTCCTTTGCATGAGATGACCATTGGTTGGAAACCGACTAAAAAAGATGATATTTCAACATGGGACAGCTTACCCTTGGTCATTTGGGGGCCGAACGGAATATTGATCAACCCCCACATGAGACCACAATCAAAGCACGGGTAGATGAAGGTTACTAAGGGATAATTCCAACCATGAATGGGTACAGCTGCCCTTTTCGTTTTTATATGTTTCCGGGTAGACCGTTTCAATCCCATGTTTTGACGATGACGCATGGATTTTAAGGCAGTCGAGCTGCTCACTGCCCGTCAGCGGGTCCGGTCTCGCAGGCAGTTGCCACGGCGTTGGAAGAGGACGAGGCGCCATCCTTGAGGAGCACCGACAGAGCCATCCTTCTAGCTGTATCCTCTCCATTCCCTTCGGGATCCTTCTCCTCTAAAAAAATGCCAGACCCTAGAAAATAGGTGGTTTCTAACGAGAACGATGGGTGAAGAGAATGGGGAGTCAAACCTTAGAATCCTGGGAGCCGCACGAGTCAAACGGGAGGTCTTGCCTGAGTTTCGCCACGGCGCTCAAAAGCCATGGCCAATCCACCCGTTGGGTTGCTGGAGCTGGGTTGCGAAAGGATCTGGCACCCCTGGCGTCTTTCTATGAGGGTTGGGATTGGCTCTCCCATTTAATCTTGAACAGAGCCAGGGTTGAGAAGCCAAAATCGAGTGGCCTGTTGAGGTGGTTTAGGCGGGTTCCCGTCACTAGAAATGACCAGAGTAGGGCAACAGGCAACTTGTCAAAGCAGCTCGTAGCGTGGTCTGTTTAACAACAACACCGCCCTAATGTTGATCCCATATCAATCAACCCCGTTTATTGATAGGGGTGTTCCCCTCCAAAAGTGATGATTCCCCACATTTCACCCAGGGACACCCCCCTACTTTGCTAAACAGGGCTGATTAGTATGGGGTCAACACGAGTTTGGTTTCCTGTTGCTTTTCTTCGCTTGCCACGCCCAAGGCTCCAACTTCCCCTGGCTCGAATTTCGCGCGTTGGGCAAAGCAGCCAGCCGATCCAATTTTTTGCAATGAAGGAACATGGTCCTTGAGTCCTCCAGACACCTGCCCTCCTCAGTCTATAGGGATGGGTCACTTTTCAGGAGGAGGGCTTCAAGCGCCTTGAGCTTTGGTGAGTGAAGGAGAAACTGCGCAGCGGAAACAAGTACACTGCAAGTTGAGCAGGTTGCGCTCGAGTCTGTTTTTTTCTTTCCCCTGGGAGATGTTTGTTTTGTTTTTTAATGATTGGGCGTGCGGCGGATGTCCAACTTGAGATGCTGCATGGCAAAGTATGAACTTTGAATCTTTGAAGTCTACCGAAAATTAGTCGCTTACTTGGATTTGTGTAGGCATGGTTGTGGCAATGGGCTTTGCAGGGCCACGTTCGGTGCTACTCCTTGGAGAATCCTCAAGACCGAAGTGTCATGGGGGAGCGAACTTGAACTCCCCCTCACGTTAGTGATTGTTCACAGAGTCGCACTGTGGCCATTTACTTTTGTGCCATGGTCAAGCCACCTGAGGTTAGAGGGTTATGAACCTTAAGGAGTTTCTTGAGGTAAACCCCTTGTTATACTGTGGATGGTCAACATGGCTGGATGAAACCCAGCAAAAAAACGAACCACCTTCCAAGTGATGCAGGCTTTTTGTCCATCCACAGTGATCTTCCTGAAACCACCGGCTTCAGGAGGGCCATCTTCGTTTGCTTCTTGGTGGCCATCTACGTGTGCTGCGACGTGCTGGTCTACTTCCGAGGTGAGATGGCCTCAACAGGCAGGGAGGGACTTCGAAGAGTGAAGGGCTGTAGGTCCTAGTCTGGATGGTTGCGACATCCAGAACTCGCACCACGAAATGAGTTGCCATGGGAATGAAACCCGAAGGTTTGTTGGGATTTGCCTTGGGGAATCATCAGAAACCGGGGGTTTTCAGGTGCTGCGAAATGGATTTCGTCCATCCACGGGGACATGGCCCAGTAATCCCGGCATCGATCTGATTTGCTTGTGGGAGGCTGTGGAAGTTGACCTTCTGTTTTAGTTTTCCTTTTTTTTCAAGAGGTGGTAGTCTTCTAAGACCCTCATGCGCATTTGGGCATGTCCTTTTGTTAAGGGTACCTTTTTTTTTGTGGTTTTAAAAGGGAAACCCAAAAGGCCAGACCACCTTTGTTTTGGGGCGTCACGGGGTAGGGCTTACACAATAGATCATAATCCCGAAAGGGTTGCATACGCATGCAGCCAATCAAACAGCCCGGTACTTCTGCCACAGATCCGACCTTTGCGAACCCGGATGAGTCAGAGAATGCCACGCAAAATGCGAGCCTTGGGCGAGGGGGAAGGGCACGGAGGCAAGGCGATGCCCTGGTTTTGCAATTGAGATGCAATTGTTATTCCCTCCCTTGCATGGTTGTTGCAGGGAAATAGTTTACATGTTGCTTATTGTGGTTTAGTGGGACATCCCCACTTAACTGCAAAAAAAATGAATTTTGCTCGTCAGCCAAGCTTGGGTTACGAAACTTGCCTCCTAGGACCTGTAGGTTCATGCTTTAGTTGGATTAGGCAACCCTCGGTTTTGAACAGCTCAGATGTTGCGCTCCGCTCAGCACCCACCTCTAAGGCTACATTCTACTGAGGTGCCTTGACCACTGTTTACCCACACCATCCTCTCGCACCAAGGGACTCTTTGGGTATTCACCCCCTTGTGGTTTCTCTTCAAAACCTCTCCGGGTCGACGGGTCTTGTCAACACATATCACCCCACAGGCTACTACAAGGCCACAGTGGTGATTCTTACCTCCAGCATCAGCGCTTTCATCGGCTCGGAGCCTTAGAGCTGACGCGTTTTCCTCCGGACCTGGGTGGCGCAACGGCCATGCCGCTGTGTGCCGGCTGTGTTTTGTTGTGCCGTGTTGTTTGTTTGCTTTGTATGCTTGGGGCCGCGCTGCAGGTTTATATTTTGCGGCTTCCCCAAAAGACAACACATCAAAGGACGTGTCATCGTTGTTTTTTGTCCAGACCCCGTATTCAGGACCCAGAAAGACAAGCAAAACGGCAAAGGAGCAGATCGGCACTTCCCAAGCAGCAAGCTGGGCATTTTCATTACGGCCGAAAAGCCGAAGTTTGGATGTTCGTGTGCGAGAGGATGGAGCCTATTCCACGGCTTCCAGGTGGCAGGATCCTGTGCTCACCGCAAGTGTGAGTTGGGGATGCCACCTGCGCCTGCTCTGGGACACTGTCGAAGATCTAGGCTGTTATCGTTTGCACTTCCACCGTGGAAACAGCATGGCAGGGTGTCACTAGGTGGACGAAAAGGGTCCAAGTGGAATTTGAGACATGCCAACTTATTGCTGATTTTACGTCTGAGCTCATCAGACATCTCTAGATACGTTTTGTGGGTTTGAGAATTCAATCTTTTGGCCCGAGAGTTGGGAGCGGCCTCCGCCTCGGCATGATGCGGCTTTGCGTGCTGCTCCCCCTGCTTGCGGTTGCAGAGAATGTGACGAACGCAACGAATGCGACGAATGTAACAAAGGCCAAGCATGTTGCGAAGGATATACAGAGCAATGTCACGAATGCCACGGGGAAATCCCTGCGTGGCACCAAGTCGGCATGGGATCCTTGGCAGCAGTGCGGCAAGGTGGGCAGTGCACAGAGGGATGGGACCAGGATCGTTCACGGCCAAGATGCTCAGAGTTGTGTTTGGAGGTGGCAGGTGAGTCTGAAGTCTGTGAAGTTCGGTTACCAGCCCTTCTGCGGAGGCAGCTTGATTGCTCCGGATTGGGTGCTCACTGCCGCGCATTGCCTCAAAGATGTGAGCCAGTACGACTTGAGAGTTAGCGCAGGTGCCTGGAAGACCGCGTCATACCGGGCAGTGGTGCGACGCGTCAAGAAGGTGTCGATACACCCCAGCTATGGCCGGCAAGCACCTCACGACTATGACTTCGCCCTTTTACATTTGGACAAGCCTATGCCCATAAATGCGTGCATTGGGACGCTACTTGGCGCACAATGGCATGCATAATCTAATATTGAATCTAACTCTTGAATTGTCCACACCCTAAAGTAGGGTGTATAATCTAAATCTTGGATCTTAAATATCATATTATCATCTAAGATTGAGTCTAATATCTACAATTTTGTAAACATCCAAAATAGGGGGACTCCGAAACGGTTGTCATCCGAGACGGTTGTTTGCCCTTGAGGCCGCGAGGCCAAAGTGAGGAGATGGACAAACTTTGCCATCCGAAACTCTTTGGGACCGAAAGTTTCTGAGCTTGGTCGAGAGGGGCGCCACCGCAAGAACCCGTCAGTTGGGAGAAGATGCTCAACAGACACTGACATAGTGGTCATCTACGGGTTTCCCTGGTGATTTACATATTATGTATATATATATATGCAATGCCCCACCCCTGGTGCCTAGGTTTTGCTTGATTTCAGCGCGCAGGCTGTAGAGTTTAGATTTTTTGCAATAGAGTTTAAGCGCAGATGAATGGGCTTGCAGTCCATCATGGCAAGATCCGAAATGTCCCAATATGATACCCTCCCAAATAGGATTTTATTTTAACTAGAATTGGAATTTTGAATATAATTTGGTTAGGATATAGTTTTAAAAAATATGTTTATGCTCAACATTGCTCAACTACAGCTTATACAAGCAAGTTCTTTCTAAATAGGAGCTACATGAGAATATAAGTATAGTTTCGGGCAAACTCCAACTAATCTTCAACAAAAGAAGTTGGGAGTCTAAGTGTAGATATAATCTAATACGAACACAACTCAATTAGCTTCTTATAGTTGACAAATAGATAGCGACTGCTTCTCAAATTGAGTTTGTATTAAATATGGCTATAAACATTTGAGGGACTTCTACAAGGGAATTCGAAATACGATCTGTGTTATTTATATCCTGGCCCTTTTGCAGCATAAGAAAGGTCCAAAATTAAACTTGTTAGACGGTGTTCGAAAAGGAAATTTCAAGGGAAGAGAGGTTCAAATCTTAAAACTATTTCAAAATAGGGATTCTAGCTGAATCAGTTGTATTTGAAGTTCTATTTGCACAGGACAACAAAATTCATTCTATCTCAAAAGGCGGAGGTAGTAGATGAGCAAATGTGGAGAGGTAGTTCAAGAGGGGGGGGTGACGGTGTGTGAACATACATACAAATGCATATGTATAATATACATAATATATACACATGCATACACATATATAGTACCCCTAATGATCCTGCGCCTCTTCATAAAAGGCTGTAAAATACTGTTTTTGAGCATTACACCTACCTTGGTTTACCTCCTGGAAAGGGGTCAACATGCTTCATAGCTAACATGAAGCCCAAAGTTTGTCTAACTATTAACTTGAAAGTGTTTCCACTGGATCGCTAAGCACTTGAAAGTATTTTACCACTGGATGGAAAAAATCAAGATTGAAGATTACACAACACTTTCCTGAGAATTGTCAATCCTGGCCAAACCCAAACAACATTCAAGTTCTTCTCACACTTGAAAGTTCTTTGCCACTGGATTGAGGATTCAATATCGAGGATTGCACAAACAACAACTTTCCTGAGAATCATCCATCCTGGTCAAACCCTGGACATGATCAAGTTGTTCTATTTTACCACTGGATTGAAGATTCGAGATTGACATATTTCACGGACAACTTTTCCGATAATCTTATTGAACACAGAGTATTGGGACAAAACAGTTTTTTTTTGAAACAATAAACAATAAAAATTATGGGATTCAAGATTCAGAATCAATATTTCCAGAAAAAAAGAAACAGTTTGACATCTTGAATCTTGAATCCCAGATGTTAAACATAAAAATAAAAATATAAGATTCAATATTTCAACACAATATTCTTCTGAATCTTGAATCTTGAATCCCAGAATTTGTATAATTTGCTAAACAATATGGGACGCAAGATTCAATGTTCCAGGATTCCAGAAAAGATTGTTTTGAAGTCTTGAATCTTGAATTCCACATTGTCACATTGAACGTCTCCCAGCAATCTTGGGTCCAGAATTCTTAATTGTAGGATTGTGGCACACCCGTCCTTGGTGCCCAAGTTTGGCAACAAAAAAAGCAAAATTACCTGAAAACAATGATTGAATTCAAGCAACACCTAGGCACCAGGGGGGGCGGCGTACTATTTATATATATATATATACGTGTCCCCCGGATTCAACTCATACCCATTTTCTTCTCCAGGATCTGCCTTCCCCAGACGTCGGAGAATCCGGGGGCCCAGTGCAGCATCACGGGCTGGGGCACGCTGCAGTCCGAGGGCGCCAGGCCGGAAGTGCTTCAGGACAGGCTGAGCGCCCTTCCAGCCTCTGTTGCCCAGTGGAGTCCGTGTTTTTTGTTCTTCCATTTTTTTTCTCCGACTTTCTTGGGGAAGCGTTCCGATTCCAAGAAACACTCAACCAAGCACCAATAGGGCGCCCTTTTTGGCCCGTGGATGGCCACTGGGCATCTGAGCACCGATTCCCAGTGGCCATTAAGTGTGGTTATTGCCTGGAGTTGGGTATCACAACTTACAAAGCTTAAACCATAGATCTGAAAAATGTGGGGGGGGGTTAGGTTGGCAGTTTCTGTGCATTGCAAGTGATAAAGTAGTTGTGAGGATGGGCATCCCACTTTGGTACCACAGACACAATTATTTCCCACCTCCATGATGCACAGGGTTGGTTCAGTCCGGACTCGAGCAGACTAGCCTTCACAACGTGGTTTAGACTTACTTTCCGAGTCTTTGGACTTTTTGGGAAGACTTGAATGGCAACAGCATGTGTAGACTGATTGTGGGACAGTCTCAGGAAATCAGAGTCAGTTGTCTTCTTTTCCCATGAATACCTGATATGGTCATGTTGGTCTCAGTTGTTCAAAGCGAATCGACCTGATCTGACCTTTTGGTTTTCCCTTTTTGGTCTATTTTCAGTAGAGGTCCCAAAAGGTTAACCTCTTGTAAACAGGTCCTTTGGGCAGCTGAGTCATTGCACTCCCCCAGTGGTCAGTGACTCGTCATATTCATCGCTCACCTCGGTCACAGGAGGCCCGGGTGACTTTGCTGCAGCGCAGCCATTGCGAGGCCGACTACGCCAAGATGCGGCAAGCCGCTGCGCCAAAGAGTCCCAACGTTTCGCCTTCTTGCCGCGTTTTCCTTTGTTGGACCATATGTACACTAGGTCCCCCAGTAGGGCCCTTTTACCCTTTTTGGGGGGAGGGTGCCACTACTAAAATAGACGACAGTCAAAAAGGGTATCCTTATTGTAACCTCTACTGGCGGACCTAGGTACATATGACACATATCTGGGCGTGTGTGTGTGTGGTCATCCTTGTTGTGTCCATTTGAAACTCCAACACAAGGTACCTTATCAGCTATTAGCCTTCCACCAACACAGAAAATTGTACAGACCACTTTACTTTTGGACTATTCATAGCCTTTAGAAAGAATAGGCTGTGTACTTTCATGTGGGAGATCTTCTTCAAGGGCCGAACCGTTCAAACTTCTGTATTCCAGGCATTTGGGCGTGTCATGTTCTGTTTCTTTTGTTGGTTTTGAGCGGAACCCAGGAGGAAAACCACCACTTTGCGGGGTCCCCCAAAAAAACATGAACAGAGACACCCATTTGGAGATCTCACTTGCACACCCACACACGCACCACACACACACACCCAAGCACCCCACGTGGTGTGCTGTCTTTCTGAAGATTGAGGTCATCACTTCGTCCATGCTTTGCGCGAACGGCCACTCGGGCCGGGGGATCACCGACACTTGCCAGGGTGACAGTGGGGGGCCTTTGGCTTGCCAGGCGAACGGCAAGTACCTTGGCCGATTTGGGTTCAGCTCACTTCCTGAGTTCGTGGACTAAAGGTCGCTGGTTGGGTTTGGACCAGTTTAGTAGGCTAAACGAACAGTACAGATACTTTTTTGGGCCAGTGCACTCGATCGGAAGTCAGTCCCCGAGTTGTTTGTGATACTTTTTGAGACCACTTTAGCGGCACACGCAAAGTTTGGACTTGATTGGCAAATCCTGCTGCAAGTGAGCTCTTGGGTTTCCTACAAAAGAGGCTTTCTACCAAAGAAGGTTCCACCGAGAGCACTGGGCAGAAGGTGTGACCTGGTTGACCTTGTCATGATCTTTGAAGCCTGCCTCACATTGTATGTTTTGCTCAGGGTGGAAGACCCACGTGGTGGTGGATCTTGGCAACCACTTCGAAAATCCGCTGTTGGTTTTTGGTCCCTTGAACCCTGGAAAGCTTGATACCTGTTCAACCAGATGTACAGTACAGCTGTTTGTCCTGAAAGCTTCAATATTTGTTCACCTCCCCCCCTAAAAAATGGTTGTTGTTGTTTTTTTCTCCTCCCACTAACATAGCATTTCTGGGAGGTACCTGGAAGATAATGTTTCTGTAGGGGCCTGGTCCCTGTCAGGTGCCACGTTAGTGGGAGTGAGGGTACCGCTATTTTGGCTAGGTCCCCAAGTAGTGCCCGTTTACCCTTTTTTGGCGGAGGGTTCCCTTACTAAAATAGACTACAGGAACAAAAACACCAAAACGGGTACCCTTATTCTAACCTCTCTACTGGAGGACCTAGTCGGGGTAGCCCCATGAGAGCCCCAAAAGCCAGACGGCTTCGGGCTTCGCTCTGTTTTTCTTTTTCCCCAAGGTACGTCCTCCAGGGAGTCACCTCCTGGGCCAACGGCTGCGCATCCGCAGAGTTCCCAGGGGTCTACAGCCGAGTCTTTGCTCAACCCGTCTCCACCCAAACTATGTCAGATTTTAGGACCAAAGACGTCCAGTTGCTGAAATGACTACTTGTTATATTCCCCTGTTGGTTTTGAAGGAATCTATCGCCACTGGACATATTGGTATTTTTGTCCGGAGGATTTAAGCAAATGGAGGAATATGAAGCAGTAACTGAAGATGACTATTTTGCGTGTACCCCAGATGTGAGCCAAGTTACGCTTTTCTGTTTCTGAACCTTTGAAACAATGATATGGTACCACCTTGTTCCTTTTAACCTTAACAGTGGTATGACCTCGACCCTTTGTGAAGTCAAGGAGTGCTCAGCGCCAAGTCATGGATCGACAAAGTGCTCTCTCAGCCATCAGAACCATCGGAGCCATCGAAACCATCGGAACCATCGGAACCGGAGCAGCCGCCAGGCTGCAATCAGAGCCATTGGTTGTTTGTTTTTTTGTTGGGCCCCGGGGGGGGGGGAAAGGAGGGGAGGGGGTTCGGGGTCTGATTTTCAAGTCCTTCCCTTGGTTGGGGGTGGAATTCCCTTTAAGTTCTATGGGATGTCTTTTCTGGCCTCGCAAGGAGCTGTCCATGCAAGGGGACAGACGGACGCTGCTACAACTGCGCCGGAAGTGATGGATATTGTTACCAGTACGATTGCGGCTCTTATTGCTCCAACTATGCATGCGCCAAACCGGATCAGGTCTGCCCTTGCTTGGGAACCGACGGAAATTGCTATCGCCACGATTGCGGCTTTTACTGCTCCAACGATTGGTGCTAAATCTGCTTGACATTCATAAGCAGCATTTGGTGCACCGCGGAATTTGACAAGAAGGGTAATGGCTGGACAGTGCAGCCATTTCTGTTGGCAGGCCCACAAGAGGCCACGTGTACAGAGTTGTAAAGCGCTGGCAACTTGCTTGCCCCCTTCTTTTAGGCAGATCTGACATCACCAGCCCCTTAGCTTTTACTTCTTTTGTAGAAATTCATAGGGAATTCGGTTGCAGGTCACGTCGCCTGCGTCAAGTGAAAAATGCGTCGACATGGCAACCATGACCTGTCAAACCCGCGGCAAAGACCAACAAGATACCGGGCTCCTTTCACTCTTGGGGAGGGGAGTCTGAGACAACGCGCACCCAAAGTTGCGCTGTGCCCTTTCCTCACTCCCTGAGTTGGACTTCGAACTTTTTGGGGTTGGACCATCCGCTCCCTCGGGAGTGAGGTTTTTTTTTTTTTTCGGGAACCCTCGAGTCTGACTTTGAGAACCCCAAAGAACCAAGACAAGCCACCCAACTCGTTGAGTGCCAAGAACCCATGGAAATGTCTATTCCACCCCGTGAGAAATACAACTCAGGCGCTGCAGTGGGTTCTACATTGCGACAAGAAACAGTGGGGCTACCCTCTCTGCCACTAACATGGCACCGGACAGGGTCCCGGTGTTTAGAGGAAACTGATCTTCCAGGTACCCTCAGGTGCCATGGCAACGTGGGAGGGAGGCTAAAGATCCATGGGAAATCCACTAAAAATGTCAAATCCACCAATCTACCCATGGAAATCCACTAAATATCCGGTCCGGGTTATACGAATCAGGCGCTGCTGTGGCCTGGTGGAGGAGCGGCATGAGGCGCTCTCGATGCTCCCAAAGTGAGCTTCGGTTTTTCCATGAACGATGGGAAGTGGCTTGGACATGGGTTTGTCTTCAAATTTAACAACCAGGGGACCGCAGGATTTAGTCCTTGTTTCCATTCACCAGGGTTCCATTTGGGGTACCGATTTTTGACCCACAGCCAAATGGAGATATCCGCCCAAAACAACACGAAGAAGCGGTTTTCATACGGTTTCCCTTTTTCACAAGCCCAAAAAGGGGAAATTCTAATTCCCTCTACAGAACATGCCAGTGGGTTCGGAAATGGGATGAGCAGCTCCCGCTAAGATGTGGGTACCTTCCTGGGGGAATTTTGGATGGTGATTTCCCTGCCCATGGCAGGGCCATAGGCGCTAACTTTGGGAGTCCAACAGCACGCCAATAATCAATGTCTCTCTTGGTTGTGCTTTGGGGGTGCACCAACGGGAAACCAAGGGGAAATCAAGGGGAAATATGAGGCTTCCCATGCGACATGGCATATGGTCATGGCAGGTTGTGGGCAGTCCATGGTTGTGCATAAGGGCAATCCTTGGCCCTTCCCGTCGGGGTTACGAAAGGATTCGGTGACTTTCGTAAAGACTTAAACATGCAGTTCATTCGATTGGATTAAACATGATTTGGACATAAGAAGACGATTTCCTCGAAGGGATTAAGCGCGCGACATACCCAGCCCCTGTGAAAAAATAGGAACTTTCTGCTTTACTCAAGTGGTTGATTCCCATTCCCGTGGCTAGTTGCTTTCACCTTAGCGGATGTGTTTGGGCTTTTCGCCGAAATCAATATCTTATGACCAACCCCACACTCTGTTCAAAGTTTGAGGCTGGGGAGCCTGATGGTTCATTTCCCCTGGCTTGTTTGCACCGCAACAAACAGGATACCCTCATATCAGATATATCAGATGACCACCTTATAGTTTCAAATGGAATTCAAAGTAAACCACAGGAGGTCTCCATTTTGACACACACGGATACTGTGCCTCACTTTGTTAAAGACCATGATTGTGGTCAATAAACAGTTTTGCATTTGTTTGGCCAGTCCACTCAGGAAGTGGCATTTGAGTTGAGAAATGACTCGATAGTCATGCGCACAGCCTATCAACAGGTGTGTGTGTGTGTGTTTTTGTCCTCAAATATGCTTTACCAATAGGCAGGCAATGGGGGACGCGTGTATCATCGGGGGGGACGGCCACCTCTCGTAAGACAACCTTCAAAGGGAACGAGAGAAAACGTGTCCCTTGGCAAAATCCCATTGGGTGCGAACTTTGGCATCTGTCTCCAGGAGTTAAGTAATCTATGGGGATGCATAATTGCTACCATTGTTCCCAATGATGCATGCCTTTGAATTTGGCTGTAAGGTACCAAACCCGATCCTATTTTTTAGGCCGGGTGTTTTAGGGACGAGCAAAAGAGCAGGGAATTTCCATTTACCGTCTAGCCGCTTATTCCCTACTTGCATGATGCATGGCTTAAATGGCTTTAAGGTACCCTACAACCCTGTTCTCACCGGCCGAACACAACATGGTGAGGGGCCTGCGGCAATGCGTCGCTCCGCAGAATGCGCGGAGCCCCTTTTGGCTTCATGCCAAAGGAAGCGCTTGGGATCTTGTCTCAAGATCAATCGGGGCGGTCCCAACAAAAGGCGGTTTTCCTGCTGATTTTCCTTTAAAGCAACCAAAAAGGGTGCGTACACGCTGAAGGGAAGCAGGTCCGGTTTACAGTTTGGGTGACTTGTGTTTTTGGGCAAGGCAAGTCTCCGCTTCCCTTGGACAGGGGGTAGGTAAGCTTCTCTCCGCGTGCGTTCCAATCGCAATGAGGCAGCGCATCAAGCACGGACGGACGGAGACATTACATCGCAAGTTGTGATTCGAGATCCAGGTCGACGAATGAATTCTGCTTGCTAGTCGAATTCCCTGCCCAGTTGTCTATGTTTCTCCTGATGAGAACAGCTCTTAATCTGGATGTGTTCTATGAGGGTGCCCCTAACTAAAGGCCTTGGGGTATCAAGAAAAACAAAGAAAACTGGTTTTCCCAGGTTCCCTTTGATGTTTGAGCTAGATCCTTCCCAACCTGCACACACACACACATATGCCAGCCCCCGATGATGCCAGTGTCACTTCAGCACAAGCCCTCCACGCGAACTTGTCCGCCAAACATCCTACCAGGTGTATTCTAGAGTTCCCTCCAGTTTGCTATTATTTTAGGCTAGACCAAATCTGAAACGGAATCATCCTTCAGTGTACCGTACCCCGTTTTTGTGGGCCAATTGCTGTTTGTGCCCTTTTCATGCCACACCCGTCCCAAACTTTGGTTGGCTGCTACTTGGTGTACGTGCCGGTTGCAACCGATCCTCTTAACGCACACTTGGGGGTGGTTTGCAGCCGTTGTGCCAAGCCACAAGCGAGCCTGCGATTCAGGCAGTGTTCTGCATTGCACACGGGTGGAAACCCCTAAACCAGATGGTTCTTCTTCAGATGGACCTCGAAAGAGCATCACATCCAAATAAGCCTTACAACGCGCTGTGGCAACCAGGGAAACAAGATGTGGGAAGGTTTGGCCAGGGGACACATGGATGCTTCCCGAAGGGTCTCTCAAGTGGCGTCCTTTGATTCACCGAGCTAAGCCCGCATACTCCATGTAGGTATATACCAACATTTGACCCAGTTGGAGGGTAAATGTGGGTGCATGTTCCCTACATGGAGTGGTCTGGGAAGGTAAACGGGGGTCGCCTTTTTCTCGGCATCCATCCGAGGTCTTCAATATTTGGGTGGCTGGTGCGTCGATGCCGGCGGACCCAAAGAGGGCCACCCGTGAGTCCTGGGCAAACCGGGGTTTGTGTCGATGGAAGTCAACCGCTTCTAGGGTTGTGAGCTCCATACTGTGGATGGACGAAATCCATTTCGCATTCAGTGGGACCAGCTCCAGCAGGCCGTTTTTTGCGAGTCAAAGATTGACTTGGACCCTTTTTTGGCCTGGACACAGCGTGACACGCGTCGGTTTTTGTTTTTCTCCCTGTAGGTTGGCATAAAAGTGATTTAATTGCAGCGCATACTGCTAATTTGTCGAGGCTCAGTACGCGATCTTGATTCAGATTTAGGATTTAGATGATTGGAAGAGTGTGAAGGGAGCAGCACTTCGCATGTGTTTTGCTTGTTTCTTAACCTCTACCCCGTGTTTTGGTTTTATTCAAATCATGTTTTTCCATTTTGCGACGCCAGAAGCGCCACCCACGTTTTGCGGGTCAAAGTGCAGGCGATCCTGGCTGCCCTATGGCCTCGAGTCGTTGGTTTTTGAGGCTGGGAGTTTCGGCGGCCTTTGCCCCGCCCAGGTTCTTCTCCATCTCCAGCATCTCGCTGCTGAAGGTGGGGCAAGAAGTCCAGTTAGACGCACGTCTTTCTTGGGAGCTGGGACTTCATTTTGTTTTCTTTCCGGGAGTGGTCTAAAGGGAAAGCAAAGGGACACTCCACTTTTTGCTCCTGAAGCCATTCAATCCTGAGCATGACGTGGTATTGCCAGTAGTCAACCGCTGATTTGGGCATGTGTTTTAGAGGAAAACCAACTGCATACCACCCATTTTGGGGGGGGGGTCCCCTACTGTGGATGGACAAAATCCGCTTCGCACAACCACCAATTTTGATGCTCAAGTCAAAACTATGTACTCAAAATGGAACCCTGCTAAGTGGAAACATGGACTAAAACCTGCGGTCCCCTAGTAGTTTTTTTTTGACCCACACCTACATCTCTGGCGTGTGTCTGGCAGGCCTTTGTCCACTTGGATGGCGCCTTCATCAAACTCGTGGGCCAGGCCATTGACGTTCCGTGGCTCGTCGGTTTTCTTTTTGGCACGGGTCTCAAAGGGAAGCCAAAAGGAAAACCGAAGCCATTTTTTTTGAGGGAGGTCCCCTAAAAAAGAGACACTCATATCTTAATATGTCAAGATGCTCTTTCATGTTTCACGTTGATCCGAGATGAATGAACCAGGCTATTGCTAGGGTGTTCCCTCGAAAAGTGATGATTCTCCACGAAACCCAGGGACCCCCTCCCCCCCAATTTGTGTAAACCGGGTTGAATCTTGGGCCAAGATAAGGGACTAACTAGCACAGGTTGAAGGATGGCGGCTCAGGATTGAACAGGAGAATG